GGTGGGGGTAAGACTGAGAAAAACTGGATAAATTATGTATACTGCATTGAAGCTGATGAGGGAGAGAAAAGTTTAAAAGTAATATATTTTAAGGAATTATGATTATCATAAGAGTTTGGAATGAGGGTTGCAGAGTGGAGTATACTCGGGGTGAAGGTGGGAGGGTGCAGGGGGATTGTATACCAATGAAGGAGTTTTTCCTTTTGCTTTAGGGAGAAGAGCAAACTGGGGGTGGGGGTAGGGTGGGCAGGGAGAAAAGGGCAACAATGAATGAATGGAAATCCACAATCTCTGTAAATGTTCAATGAAATTAATAACAACAATAATAAAAAAAAAGAGAAACAAGGTAGGAGGCATCTCACTCCCTGATCTTGAATCCTACTACACAGCAATGGTGGTCAAGAAAGCATGGTACTAGTACAGTGACAGACACATAGACCAATGGAATAGAATTAAGAACCTAGAAATCAGTATGGTCAACTGATTTTTTACAAGAAGATGAAATCACTCTAAGTGGGAAAACAAAAGCCTCTTTAGTAAATGGTGTTTGAAAAACTGGAAAATTACCTGTGGAAAACTCAAGCAAGAACCACACTTCACACCATACACAAAACCCAACATCAAGTGGATCAAGGACCTAGAAGTAAAACCAAGGACTATAAACATCATCAGTGAAAAGCTTGGAAGAACTCTAGAAGCCCTAATCCACAACATGAATAGCCTCTCAAGCATGCTGAGAAACCTACAACCAGGAAGAATAGATGAATGGGACCTTCTAAGAATCAAATCCCTATGCACACCCAAACACTTTTCCAATAGGGTAAAAAGGAAAGTCGCAGACTAGGAAAAAAAAATTGGCAATAACATGTCTGATAAGGGACTTATATCTAGAATTTATAGAATAATCTAGTACCTCAACAAGATAAAGGTAAACGACCCAAAAGCAAAATAGGCACAGGACATGAATAGACACTTCACCAAAGAAGACATTCAGATGATGAACAAACACAAGAACAAATGTTCAAAATCCCTAGCTCTAATAGAGATGCAAATCAAAACAACTGTGAGGTATCATGTCACCCCAGTAACAACAGGAAAATTCAACAGAGCAGCAAACAACAAGTGCTGGTGAGGTTATGGAGAAATTGGAACTCATATTCACTGTTGGTGGGTGTGTAAAATGGTGCAACCACTTTGAAAGGTGGTATGGCACTTTCTCAAAGAGTTGGAAATAGAAATATCATTTGACCTAGCAATTGCATTACTGGGAATATATTCTTAAAAAACCAGAACGGCCACCCAAACAGATATATGCTGCTTTGCTCACAATAGCAGAGGTGGAAACAACCTAAGTGCTTCCACAACAAATGCTTCATCAACAAATGAATGGATAGAAAAGCTGTAGTATATCCACACAATGGAATACTATGCAACACTGAAAACAAGGACCTCATAAAATACTACAAAATGGGTGACCCTGGAGGACATTTTGTTGAGTGAAATATCTCATTCACAAAAGGACAAATGTGCATAATGCCTCTGTCATAAAACAGGACTGACATGGATGTTGGGGGGAAACTAAGAAAAGAGGCTATAAATAATGAACAATGCATTGAAACAGATGAGGAAAAGAATTGTCTGGAAGAAACATATGATTAGGTATTATCTGCATGACAACAGTCCAGAATAAGAGGTGCATAACAAAGTGGACTGGGGGTGGGAGGAGAAAGGAAATTATGCAAAAATGAACAAATCTTTTTAAAGAGAAACAGAAACTGGGGGATGGGTAGGGAGGAAAATGTGCAACAATGAATGAATGGAAATCTAAGTTTTCTGTAAACTTTCATTAAAATATCAATTAAAAAAAACCCCAAAACAACAACAAACTGACAAAGTCCTCAGAACCATGACCGTGTGCAGTGGTGCTCCAGCCAAGGAAAGTGCAGGAGACACAAGAACTAAATGCTTTCAACTCAGAGCAGAAAGGCAAGTCCATCTGCACATGGTAAGGGTGCGGCTAAGGAATGTGTCAGCACATCTTTGGCTGTGACAGATGGAGCACACAAAGGCCAGATGTAACAGAAGACGTTGTGTGGAGTGGGGTCTTGATGGCTTCAGAATGCCTGTAACCTTAAGATTTCTTTAGAAGAAAATGGCTATATAAAGATAAAATAAATGGAAATTATAAATATAGTCATTTGGCAAGCAGCTTGTTTTCCACCATGTAACTTTCAGCCCCATGAGCACATAGTTCTGTCCACTCCTGCTAACCACTCCAAGTATGTGTCACAGCTTGTAGCCCAGCCCGTCCTGCCACAGCTTACACCCAGCCCATCCTGCCACAGCTTATACCCCAGCCCAGCCTTCCCCAGCTCACATACCCAGCCTAGCCTTCCACAGTTTACAACCCAGCCTGACCTTCCACAGCCCACATCCCCAGCCCATCATGCCACAGCCTCGCCTTCCTGCCTGTTTTCTGTAAGCAGAGAGAATGTGACACTCATGTCCCTGAGCACTTAGAAGGGAAGCCCCTGGGCCTACACATTTTCATTTACCAGACACTGCCAAAGCATGGTCCTAACGATGCTTCTACCCACAGGCAGTGTAAGAAGGCTTACATTTCCTAAGCTCACAATCTTTGGTAAGACTGAGGGTTTACTACTCAAACATGTATGAAACATTCCCTCCTTTCCTGATCTCAAGTAACACTAAAATGTTTGCTGACCAAGTGCGTTTTCTCTTTCTGGGCAGCTTGAATCTTTTCTTGCCTCTACTGCTATCTTTTGGAATTTTCCAGTAGGGTGTCTCTGTGTGAGAATTTTAGTAGGCTTGGAGAATCTATCACTTAAAAAATAAAGTATACTGCCAATCCAGAGATACGTGTTCCAATGCGGTTCCTATTTTCCATAAATGGTTTAGGTAAGAAGAATATCGTAAATGTGGATACAGTTCCACTATTCCTCTTCCATGCCACGATATAGTGTTATAATGTTCAAAATGATTTGTTATATATTTTCCCTCTTTTAACAACTGGGATCTAGAGGGAAGAGAAAAGACCAGAGAATGGCCAAAATTATAGGGGCAGCTATTGCTGCCAGTTTAGGGCCTATGTCAGGAAAAGGAAGTCTTATTCATAAACAGTGCCACCCAAAGGTAATAAAGGAGGTCAGAATTGCCTCCACTGTGGAAAGCTGGGCCACTTCAGTAGACAGTGTCACAGACGAGAACCACATATAGGCAAGGGAGTAGAGAGGAAGCTCCCACTCACTTGCTTTAAGTGTGGATCTGAAAGACACTTGGCCAACGGTGGCCCACATCAGGTCCTCGTGGCTGACAGGACAGACAGGCCCCAGCTCCCAGCTGGAAACAAAGGAGGATGCTTCAACGATTTAGATCCTCCCAGAAGATCTGTGGGTGAGCATTAACATTATTGGTAAGTATATTCGTTTTCTTCTGGACACAGGAGCCCATTATTTGGTCCTAAAAGCCTTCTGAGGTCCCAACTCTTCTCACTATTTCTTAGTTGTTGGAATTGACAGAAAACCTCATAAGCAGCTCCTTACTTCACCTCTGCCTTGCATGTGGGCTTCCAAGCTATAAAACAACCCAGTGGTAGATGGAATTTGCTCCAGGACTTAAGAACAATAAATTACATAGTTGAATCTCTACATCTTGTGGTTCCTAACCTTTATACTAGACAAAGTGCTAGTCAATAGGCCTTTTATTTTAGGAACTACCTTCCCTCTGTAACTTGATTTGTGCCACTATTAGAACCTCTACTTGGAATATTATTGCTTTTTAATTTTTGACTCATGTACTTTTAACTTGTTAGTTAAATTTGTGTCTTCTAGGCTGCAACACTTCCATGATACATCTTCAAGGATATGAACGTGTACGGCTTAGCACAATCGATAACAGTGCATCTAAATTCCAAAATCAATCTCCACAATAGTCTACGTGTTTCCTATTGCCAAAGAGGCCCTTTAGAGTAGTGAGAGAAGATCTTCACCCTGAAACCTGTAGCGTCCCTTTTCAGCAGGAAGTAACTAAGAGAATATGCCGTCCCCTTTTCCTTATGAATCAGGGTGAAGTCTCTCTCAGGTAGGAGTGATAGGGAATGGCAAAGGACACACTGACAAAGGATATTAATCAGAACTGGCTTTGACAAGCACTGTGGCAATGGGACAATTAAAACAGACTTTCAAGGAAAACAAAAGAGAGGAACAAACTGGCGGGGGGGGGTAGAGAAAATAGTGCAACAATGAATGAATGGAACCCCCCCAAAAAATAATGTATACTGCATTTAAACAGATGGGGGAGTGAACTGTTTAAAAGGGATATATGATTAAATATTATTGTTATGACAGGAGTCTAGAACAAAGGTAGCATAGGGGAGTGGACTTGGGGGGAGGGACTGAATAACAATGAAACAATTTTTCCTTTTACTTTTCAAAGAGAAAAGTGAATTAGGGGGGAAGGGGTGGGCAGGGAGAAAAGTGCAACAATTAATGAATGGAAATACAACATCTGTAAACTTTCACTAAAATAAAAAAAAAAATCCTCAAACCTGTTAACCCTTTGGTACATATGGCAAATTCTCCCTCCCAGTCTATTATCCTCCAACTCCACTGAAGTGTACTTGAAACTGCCAATGTGGAGAGAATCCTTCCACCCATCTGGGTGTTACTCAGATCCACCTACCTGGAGCTCCCACCTTCCTCCTCAGGATGGAGATGGCCTGTCTTCTGCAGGTGAGGGCCCACCACATGCAGGCCTGGGCCAGTTATGTGGCGGGCACGGTGAAGACAGACTCTGCTCGTGAAGGCTGCCCTAGTGCAGCCTGACCCATGAGCCCACCACCACATGCAAGAACTGAGGCTGCCTCTGGCCTAGCCCCCCCCCCTCCCTTCCCATTTGTGGATGACCTCAGGCCTATGGAAGAGGCAAAAAGTTTGGGTCAAACTGCAGGGAAGAGAGGTTGCTGGGCTGGACCTCATTACCTGCTGGGACACTGGTGAAGTCCTTGAACGTCTTGATCTGGAAGTGCTTCACAGCCACAGGCTGGCCTTGGTAGCGGGCCTGGTAGATTACAGTGCCGCTGCCGCCTTGGCCCAGGATGCTGCTCTCCACCTCACTGAGCTCCAGCTTGCTGTTCTCCAGGAAGAGCCTTCCAGAAACAGTCCAGTGGTCAGCACTCACTACATAGGCCCACCCCAGGAGAAGCTGTGGTGTGCAGGGCAGCTTGGACTCAGTGGGTACAGAGAGGTAAGTGGGATCTTAGCCCCACCAGGGTCAGCTATGGTGCAGACTTCACATGGCCTCACAACCCTTAATCTCCTCATCTCAAAAATGGGCTCACAGCAGTTCCTTGCTCACAGGGTGAGCCTTAATGGAGAGAAGAAAAGGATCCCCTTGGGAATTCCTTCCATTCTGTGAGGGCTATTGTTCTGCTAGATAGTTCATGGGGAGGCACCTGCTACTTCATGGAAGAAAGTCTCTTCCATGTGATATACAGACTCTGAAAAGCTGCTGGAGGGCCAGCTATGAGTCATTGTCTGGTGAGAACTAGTATCCATCAGAAAAATCAAATATATTTACCACAGGTTAGCTATTTCTCCATTTAGTTTTTAAAATTTATTTTTATTTTATAATGGATTGCACACAAAAAATTATATGGTGTTTCATTTATATATATTGTATTTCACATATTCACAATGTTACATACAATCATTCCCACATATTGTGTTATAAAATTAATCACTATTGATCTATGCCCATTATTATCCTGTCTTTTCCATGGTGCCCCATGGATCTTTCCAAATTCCTTCACTTCTTCCCTCCACCCACCAAACTCTGTGACCCCATGATTTCCTCTCCTTCCCACTCTCAGTCACTCTGCTCCCTCCCCATTTCCTCTTTGGACTTCTATACACATCTTACTAGTAAACCTTCTATTTTTACAATAATGGGCTTATGCAGTATTTGTCCTTATGAAACTTCAATGGTCTCTAGCTTTTCTCATGCTATGTAGTATTTTTCAAAATAGTTGTTCCTGAGTGTTGCATAGTATTTCATGGCATGAACGTACCACAATTGTTCAGCCTATTTATTTGTTGATGGAAATTTTGGCTGTTTCCATTTTCTTGTTATTGTGAATAACACTGCTATGAATATCAGTGTATATATCTACATTTGTGTCTCAGTTCTATTTTCCTCAGGGTATATTCTTAACAGTGAAATACATAGCTGAGTCATATGGAAATTCTATGTTCAGTTTTTTTAGGAAATGGCAAACTGCCTTCCAGAGTGGTTATACCATTTTACAATCCCACCAACAATGTATGAGAATTCCAATCTCTCCACATCCTCTTATTGTTTGCTGTCCTGTTAAACTTTGCCACTGCTAGTGGGGTGAGATGGTTTCTCACTGTGGTTTTTATTTGCAGCTCTCTTATTGCCAGTGATCTTAAGCATTTCTTCACTTGTCTATCATCCATCTGAATGTCTTCCTCTGTGAAGTGTTCTCATGTCTTTTGTCCATTATGTAATTGGGCAAAAGACTAGTTTTTTCCCTACTGTAGAGGCTCTGCAGGATTCTGTAAACTTTTGTTATGAGAATCTAGCCTCAGAAGTCATTGCCAAATGGTTTTTTCCCAGTCAGTAGGTTTTCTTTTTACCCTATTGAACATGTAAATTGCTTTTGGTGCTAGTGGTTGTTAGGTATCATTGAGTTGAGTCTTTCTCTTGTCATATTGCCTTTGCAAGTACTTCCAGTACAATACTGAATAGGAGTGGCGACAGTGGGCATCGTTGTCTGGTCCTTGCTCTCAGGGGAAATGCTTTTAGTCTTTCTCCACTGATAATGACATTGGCTCTTGGTTTTGAATATACTTTTCATTATGTTGAAGAAATTCCCTTCTATACTTATTCTGTTGAGTGTTTTAATCAGAAAAGGGTGTTGGATTTTGTCAAAGATATTTTCAGTTTCAACTGATAAAATCATGTGGTTCTTGGTTTCTGCTTTGTTAATGTGTTGAATTATTCTGATTGATTTTTTCCCTTTGTTGAACCACCCTTGCATACCTGTTATGACTCCCACTTGGTCACGATGAATTATTTTTTTACAGTGTTGGATTCTATTTGAACAGGATTTTGTTAAGGGTTTTGACATCTATATTCATGAGAGATATTGGTCTGTTGTTTTTTGTTTTGGTAATGTCTTTGCCTGGTTTTAGGGCTATGATTACGCTTGCTTCATAGAGTAACTCTGGGAGTGTTCCTTTATTTCCCTATTTTTTTTTAATAATTAAAGTATAATTGTCTTTGTTATATGCCATCAAGTCACCTGCGACTCATAACGACCCTATGTACAACAGCCCTTAACCGTGCCCTACCCCGTGCCAATCTCACTGTCTCCAACACACCTACCCCCATTACCCTAGTCACCGAATCAATCCACCTCATAGAGGTACTTCCTCTCCTGCGCTGTCCCTCCACTCTCCTAAGCATGAAGTCCTTCTCCAAGGACTAGTCCCTCCTTGAAACATGTCCAATATGTCAGATGAAGCTTCAGAATCTTTGCCTCCAAGGAGTAGTCTGGTTTAACCCTCTCCAAGATGAACCTGTTCGTTTTCTTAGAAGTTCATGGTATATTCAATACTCTTCTCCAACACCACAGCTTAAAGGCATCGATTCTCCTTCTATCCTCCTTAGTCACTATCCAACTCTCTGACACATAGCAAGTGATTGCAGAGACCATGGCCTGTGTCGGGTGCACCTTATTCTCCAGTGTGACACTACTGCTCTTCAGTACTTTGGAGAGGTCCTTAACAGCAGACTGTCCCATTGCAATACATCTTTTAGTTTCCTGACTGCTGGGGCCAAGAGTGATGACTGTGGAGCCAAGCCAACTAAAGCTGTTAACAATCGCTATCTCTTCACCATCCATCCTGATGCTGCCAGTTGGCCAATGGTGAGAATCTTTGTCTTCTTGATATTGAGCCTCAATCCACATTGAAGGCTACAATCCTTGACCTTCGGCAGTAAGTGCTTCAGGTCCTTCTCAGTTTCAGAAAGCAGGGTTGTGTCATCTGCACAAAGCAGACTGTTGATGCAACTTCCATCAATCCTGATGTCACACTTCTCCTCATAGAGCCCAGCCTCCTGGATAGTCTGTTCTGCATATAGGTTGAAAAGGTATGGAGGAAGGAAACATCCCTGGCGTATAACTTTCCCAATTTTGAACCACGCAGTATTTCCTTGCTTCATTCTGACGACTGCCTCCTGGTCCAAGTATAGGTTTCGCATTAGCACGATTAAATGTTCTGGGATTTCCATTCTTCTCAGAGTCAGCCACAGTTCATTATGATCCATACAATCAAACGCCTTTGCATAATCAAGTAGAATTAGTGATAGATTTTCTCTGAATGTTTGGTAGAATTCAGTCATGAAACCATCTGGGCCAGGACTTTTTCTGTGTGGAGTCTTTTTAAGACCTGCTCAATCTCTTCTTTTGTGATGGGTCTGTTCAAGTGTTTTACAACTGTCAGTGTCAATGTGGGTAGGGCAGGAATTTAAAGAAATTTGCCCATTTCTTCTAGGTATTCAAATTTATCAGAGTATAGCTTTTCATAATATTCTGATATTATAGATTTACTTTCATCTGATTCTGTTGTGATGCTACTTTTTTCATTTTAGATTTTATTTATGCTTTCTCTTTCCTTTGTTAAGTTTGCCAATACTTTGTCTATTTTATTGATCTTTTCTAAAAACCAGCTCCTCATCTTATTGATGATTTCAGTTGTTTTTCTGCTTTTAATCTCAATGATTTCTGCTCTTGTCCTTATAATTTCCTTTCTTCTAGAAGTTGTGGGGTTAGATGGTTGTTCTTTTTCCATTTGATGGAGGTACTGGGTTATATTATTAATTTTGCTTCATTTTTTTAATATATTTGCCTATTGCTATGAACTGCCCCCTGAGTACTGCCTTACCTGCATTCCAGAGGATTTGTATTTGATTTTCACTTTCACTTGTTTTGAGCAACTTTTAAATTTAATTTTTTCTTTCTTCTATAACTCAATGATGTATAGCAGGGTGTTATTTACCTTGCACATGTATGCTGTGCTGTTAGCCTAAACATTGGCTTTTTAAAGCAATTTGTTAGCTGTTTCTGGTATCCAGCTACCTTAACTGCACACATATGGTCTTGCAAATCATCCTTGGCTGTGGGACTATGATAAGAGAGTGCTTCTCACATTGGTCAGCAACACTTGAGGTGAGCAAGACTGTGGCAGCATGATCCTGGTGAGAGTGAGACCCAGGCAAGAGCAAGACCCAGGCAAGGGCAAGACCCTGGGGAAAGTGAGACCTTGGCAAGAGCAAGACCCTGGCGAGAGCGAGACCCGAGTGGTGGAGAGACTGGCACTGCTGTGGAGAAACTGTGCCCAGGTGAGACCTGAGACTTGCATTTTTACTGACTACAGTTGAATTTTGCTGTTCTTGCCTTTGATGATGGAGGGGAAAGCTGCTTACTGAATTGAACCTGGAAATCCAGACTAACTCAGGAGCTGTGTCTTGGGACTAAACTGGACTTATTTTCAGTTATATTCTTTGTCTCTCCAAGTCTTCACCTTTTTTTCCTAATAAACCTCATTGTCAGTACCACAGCTATGAGTCTCTGAGTCAGCAATGAATAATGAACCTCTTGCTGTTTCTGTGGCTCTAGAGGACCATGTGGCTGTGCTACATGCTCCTGATCTGCTTTCTGCTTGGGGGAGATGAGGGGCTGTGTTGTTCTCACTCTCTCTGCTTCTTTCAGAGACACAGTTATGGTCCTGTGCCCCCATGTGCCCATTTCTCCTCTAATTAGACAGGTGATTTTTAAACCTTTATCCTCTTGTCCTTAATTTCTAGTTTTAAGGCACTTTGTTAAGTATAGAATTTGATAAACTGACACAGTCATGCAAAGATTTCACCAGGAGCAGAAAGCAGAATCTTAGTGCTTACTTGTACTCCAGAATTCTAGGTGAAAGTGAGATTTCTGATGACCTTTTAAATACCGTAATACTTTATGGTCACCTTGGGCTCTTCTGAAGACCTTCAAAGAACTGGGCTCAGGATTGGCTGCTGTACACCAAGAAGCCCAGCTCTATTTTGGGACAGTCTACAGGACAGCCATGTGGGAACTATAGGTGCTTTAGGGCTCCAGGGACAAAAGCCATAGGTGCAAGCCCTCATGGATGCCTTCTCTATCCATGCTTTTTCAGGGGGAAGCCAACAAAAATTCCTCCAGTCTCTTCCTCTCTGAGGGCACCTATTCTCAAAAACACTGAGGGAAAAAGGTAAAACAAAGAATAATGAGGTAGGTGTGGGAGGAAGGAAGAAAAAAATGAAGAGAACAAGGAAGGTGGCATGAGGAAGAAGGATGGAGGAAAGGTGGAGGGAATAAGGAAGGTTAGTGGGAAGGAGGGTAGAGGGAAAGAAGGAAGGAAAAGTGGAGGGAATACAGAAGTGAGGTGGGGAGGAGGGATAGAGGAAAGAAAAAGACAAAGAAAAAGGGAACAAAGAAGGTGAATGGGAAAGAGAGATAGAGGGAAGGATGGGGGAAGGAAGGAGGGAACAAGAAAAGTTGGTGGGGAGAAAGAATACAGAGAAGGAAGGAGGGATCATGGAAGGTATGTGAGGAGGAGAGGTTGAGGGAAAGATGGAGGGAAAAGCGGAGGGAACAAGGAAGGTGGGTGGGGAGGAGAAATAAAAGGAAGGATGGAGGGAACACAGAAGGTGGGTGGGAAGGGTGGAGAGAAAGAAGGATGGAACAAGGAAGATGGAGAGGAGAAATGGAAGGAACAAAGATGGTGAAGTGGGAAGAGGTATGGTGGGATGGATGGACAAAATAAAGAGCAGAAGTATTTGTCCTTTGTTGTTGTTGTTGTTGTTGTGTGCCGTCGAGTCGCCTGCGACTCATAGCGACCCTATGTACAACAGCCCTAAACTCCGCTCTGTCCTGTGCCAATCGCACTGTCTCTGACCCTCCCACCCCAATTATCCCAGTCACTGAATCAATCTACCTCATAGAGGGCCTTCCTCTCCTGTGCTGTCCCTCCACCCTCCCAAGCATGATGTCCCTCTCCAAGGACCGGTCTCTCCTCACAACATGTCCAAAGTATGTTAGATGGAGCCTCAGAATCCTTGCCTCCAAGGAGCCACCCGGTTTAACCCTTTCCAGATTATTTCCTTTGTATCATGAGATAATTTGGGATGACCGAACATTTCTCTATTGATCCATGTGATGCATGCTATGGAATCTCATCTGTCACATTACCTAGCACCAAAAGTGCCCTCATGGATGGATTCTGACACATAGTGATGCTGCTGGACAGAGCAGACTGCTTTCAGGGTTACAAGACCTCAAGTCTCCTGGAAGCTGATGGTGCATCTCTTCCCCTAGCACATGTGGGGTCACAGTATTAATCGTATGCTTAGCACCCCAACACTTAATCTGCTTTGAAACTGGGGCTCTTTCTGCAACTCTACAGAGTATCCTCTATCTTCTACTTCCTTGGGGTCGAAAGGGAAATTTGAAAAAAATGAGAGTAGAAGTGTTTTTTACAAACAACAGCAACAAAACCCTGAAACCACAGTCAGTGTCGACTCAGACCCTGCAGAGGGCTAGTAAGAACAGAGGGAGGAGACTGTCCATCTTTGTCCTCTAAGTGTTGGTTGATTTGAACTGCTAGTCTTTCTCTTAGAAGAATGATAACAATAAGCACTATGCCACTAAAGGTCCCTTTAAAAAAAGAGTCCTTTGAGAAAACAACAGACTCTAAGAACTCCAAAAATGCTGGAGACCAGTGAGGTCCCATCATGATGTGATTCTGGTTTCTACCCATTAGTGAAGAGAACTATATTTTACCAAGAACTTGGGTTTTGCACCCGTTCCCTTATTGGCAAGCCACAGAACCTCTTCCATTTTCCCAGACCTCTTTGAGCTTAATCTTGGGTTGGGATAGCAGCATTAACTCTGAGAAGATTGAGGACATCTAAACACTCACTGTGAGGAAAGACAATGGAGGCAACATTTGCCAAAATGGGAAAACAACTTTTGGGTTATGCCCTCTACTCCCTGCCCCAAATGGCTGAGATGCTGAAACTGTTTAGCATAACAGGAGTGGGAGGGGGAGCTCCCAGCAGGCAGGACTTTCCTTAGCTCTCTGGAGGAAAAGGAGTGCAGGGGTCCTGAGATCCAAGCCCAAAAACCCCAAGGCTGCTGCTGCAGAGTGAATTCTGCTGTACGGGGACACTGTCGGGCAGTAGAGATCGTCTCAGAGGGCTTATGAAGCTGTCCATCTTTATGAAGTTGTTATGAACTGTGAGTTTGGAACTGACACATAGCAGATGCTAAGTGAGGATCTTTCTCCCACAGAGTAGCTGGTCGATTAGAACTATGTACCTTTGAATGGGTAGTATGACTCCTTACTATTAGGCCACCAGATATCTTGGTCAAGTGCACTTCATTTTTCTCCTGAGGAGCAGCTAGTGGGTTTGAACCACTGACTTTCCCACCAGTAGCCATGTTTTTGAGTCACAAAGGGCTCTTAAAAGTACAGTCAAGGCCTCAAACACTGGGCACTAACAGTATCTTGGAGGCTAAGGCCATCGGTTGTCCCTTGCTGGAACTGGACCAGGCACTGACAGGATCCTGGAGGCTGGGGCTGTGGACTGTCCCTACTGGGACTGGACCAATCTCTGACAGGCCCTGGGAGGCTGAAGCCGTGGACTGTCTCTGCTGGGACTGGACTGGGCACTGACAGAGCCTGGGAGGCTAAGGCCATGGACTGTCCCCATTGGGCCTGGACTGGGCGCTGACAGGGCCTGGAAGGCTGAGGCCATGGATTGTTCCTGCCAGAGCTAGACTGGGTACAGCCACCACGTATCTCCTGGAAGGTGTCCAGCACTGTACACACATGGGGGCAAGGCAGAGTGGGTGAGCCTACCTGGCTGGGAAGTCGGTCATAAATAGCTCGGGCACCAGCTCCTGCAGGGGCACAGGGAGGTCCGGGTGTTGGGGGCAGGAGATGACATCCTGCTCGATGGCAGCCAGCACACAGTCCTCCATGTCGAAGTACTGCACAGCCTCGGCCTTCTCACTGTGGTCTGAGGTCCGTGCCCGGGCTGCCTCGCACACGGGACAGGGCACGCACTGCTCCATGAGGGGGGTGCCATCGCTCTCTGTGGCTGTCAGGGCTAGAGAGACAAGGCAGAAAAAGACTCAGGCTGCACCCTGCAGGGTCCTGCCCACACTTCCCAGTCCACTGGGGCCCTGGGCAGGGAGGGCTGATGGGTGACTGTGAGTGGTGGACATCTATGGAAGTGCTGCTGCCACCACCCCTGCAGTACCTGCTTAGGGGGCATTATAGGCCGAGTATCCAGGGTCTGAGGGCTAGGATGCCGGGGAAAGGGGTGAGGGGCGAGTGGGGGCAGAAAAGGGGAGAGGAGGAAGTGGTAGGTTCCTGCTGAACAGCTGGGTCTGAACTAAGAGAAGAAGTGACACTTTAACATTCAAAACTGAAAGCTGATAATTCTTGCTTGTGTCCCTTAAAGAAGAAAACCATGGTGGAACAAATGAGGCAAATTACAGGAGATAAGGCAGGCATCCTACACTTGTAACAGGAACAAGAGGTGCCATGTTGTCTCAGAAAAGGCCCCTCAACAGGTCAGGAGGGAGAGGGTCCCTCAGGACGGGACTTGGGGGAGAGGTCCCCTCATGACAGGACAGGAGGGAGAGGGCCCCTTAGGACAGGATAGGAGGGTGTGAGGAAGGTTGAGTGTCTCAAGCATGTATGTGGAGCTGGCTCTCTGCCTGGCCTGTCTGGCCAGGAGCCACCAGCAGCTCGGTGGCCAGGATGCCTGTGTCCCTACCCAATTGTCTGACTTCGGCCACAGCTGGAAGTCACAGTGTGCAGACAGACAGTGGACCACTCTGCTTCAAACAGTGTTTTCTTCTGGGTGACTGTGAATTATGAAGCTGATCAAAGGTGGGACGGGGGTGTGGGGTTGGCTTTGTCGCCACTGGGAATGGTGGCAGGCAGGAAGGATGCTGCCCTGGGCTGATGTGGGCTCCCTGCTTTTCCTACCCGCACCAGAAAGCTTTCATCTCTATCAGCCTATCCCCAAATACTAGCTGTCTGTCCTTGTTGTAAACGAGCATATTGGGCATGCAGGAAGTTTGCCCCTCACATGTGAGCCAAAGTTCTGGCACACACGGCTGGATTCTCAGCACTGCACCTCTCCCACCACACCCAGAGCCAGACTCCTGGGGCCAGGGGCTCTCGTGGTTTTTAGAGATCCTCTGCTTTTCCTAGGCTTAGTCCCAGAGAGTGTTATTTTCCTCAGAGCAGGAAGAATTCCCACCCTAATTTCTCAGGAGAGACTGACATCCACAAGACTTCATTCCAGAACATTCACTTACCAGGAAACCACTGATCAATTAAGGAGTTGACATGATCCGTGATGAAAGCCACAGCAGAAAAGTCCCTCACTTCGGACTGACAGATGATTTTTATTCCTCCGCTCTTCTTCTTTTTCCAGTTCACATCAGAGGACTCCACACTGGAAGCCAGACAGAAAGAACGTGTCACTGCCACTGTGTAGAACACAGTCCCTGGACCTCTCTGTCCCAGGGCTAGAAATGAGGGGCCTTCAGGACATGCACAGGGCAGACACTTCGGCTAGGGATGCTCTGGCTGGAAGAGAGAGCTGGCCTGCCATATGACCTGAGCTAAAGTCTCGACCTTTTTAAACCTTTGTTTTCTTAAGCAAATGTGATGCTTCAGTGAGGAAGAAGTGACATGGAAATACCAGACACCAAGGAGGGTCCTAAAAGGTTTACTTCCTTGTTTCTCTTCTCATAAAGCCGAAGAAAGTTTTAGAAAATTTTTTATTATGAATAATGAATAAAGTGTGTTCTGTGTTTGTTGTTGCTGTTGATTGCTGTTGAGTTGAAGTCGACTCATAGCGACTCTATGAACAGAAGACCTAATGCCTTTCCATAGCTATTGTCGATTCTCCAAGTTCATAGTTTCCAGAGGCATGTGGTTTAGGAAGTGGATGCCACTCCCGCTTCCAAATCTGTTTTACAACTGAGAGTTCCACCAAACACTGTCCACAATGGGAAACCATTATGATATCTGATATCCCCATGGCAAATCCAGGTTACTTCATACAACACATTGACAAGGAGTAATGTGCGAAGTGGAAGAATGTTCCTCCAGATATAACAGCACAAGTCTCACTTAGCAGCGCCTAAGTGATGAGTCGAATACAAGAGTAAGTTTTGCACAAAAGACCTGAACTCTGTTCTATAATTAACATCATTTCTGTGCATTTATAAGAGGGTGTGTAGAGTTTCCAGAGGCATCTAGTTTAGGAAGTGGATGTCACTCCTGCTTTCCAATATGAATCAATCTGGAAGCTCACCCAAACATTGTTCATAATGGTAACCATTATGGTATTTGACACGATTATGGAACAGTGTTCAGCATCACAGCAACTCTAAGTTGTTCAGTACAGCAAATAGACAAATGATTGCTTTGTCTTTTAAAGAATATTCATTCTAAAATTAACAAATTTGGCCCGATCGTTATTAATTTTAAAGCCACACCCTCGAGCAGGCCTCCACCGTTAGTCTAAGGCACAAAGACCACCTCCTTTTGAGGTACCCAGAAACTTCCCTTACGTGATTGCCATCAAGACGAGACTGCCACAGAGGTATTAGCTAGCCAGCCAATTCTTAGAGTCGAGGGAGACTCCAAGGCCCCAGGCCCCTGGCCAGCCCACAGATTCATCACCTAGTTATCGATTCTAATGCCACACCCTCAAGAAGGCCTCTTCCCTTAGTCTAAGGCACAAAGGCCACCTATTTTTTTTGTGGGGGGGAATAAAGAACAGTAACACACAACAAACATGACCCCAGAAACTTCCCTTACGTGACTGCCATCAATTATTAAATCTATTGAGCTAACTTTATCTCAAAAGATAAAGAGAAAGGGAGTTGAGTCTGGAGTATGTATGTCTTCAGCATGGGCTCAGGTGGAAGAGGGGGTTTTGCATAGGTGATCCTCACTCCTGCCCAGGGCCCAGGGCTGTGTTGACCACACCCACCCTCCAGTCAGGAGCAGAGAGGGGTGAGGAGATGGGGGCTCTGTGCATCACCCCTCACTTCTCCAGAGCTCATGACATGGTGCTTTTTAAAAAGCCAAGTGCAGAAGAGGGCGTGGGTGCCTACAGAAGCCTTGCCTGGCACGGCCCTTAGTGGATTTCCTGACAGGACACCTAAAGGCAGCTGTCACTGCTCGGCCACGATGACGAACAGGCCAATGCCGAACTTGGAGGAGAGGAGGGTCAAGGAAGAAGGCCTTCTCTTTCCTCTGAAAGCCAGCCAGCAGCCCAGGAACGACAGGGCCTACAGGAGGTGGGCAGCTGACAATCACAAGCTATTGTTATGGTTTGCTTTTGTTAAGTTGGAACTGACCCATAGCTCACCCTCTAGTGGATTTTCAGAGACAGTAAATCTGGATTTACGGATCAACGGTCTATCCTTCTGTGAAGCAACAGGTGGATTTGAACTGAATGCCTTTGGGACTACAGCACAGTTTCTTACCACTAGACCACCAGAGCTCCCTAACAACCATAAGAGTGGCTAAAAAGTCTCTTCCTAGACAGAGGTCTCCACAGGTGGGCAGGAGTTTGTCCTTGCCATGCTGGCCTTGCGTCCCACCTGAGGTAGCCCCCTTCAAAAGTGACCAGAAGCCCTTCCTGCCAGTAGATGGTCTGGTTCCTTTTCACTCTGAAGGTGCTACAGCGATTTCTCTGGTTTCCTGCAAAGCTGTAAATGGTCAATCTTCTGTTCCTGCTTTTAGTGTTCTTCTTGTTTTCAAAGAGCTGCAAGACAGAAAAATACCTTGCTTAAGTAATCTGTGCTCTGTGCAGGTCAGCAGAAGCTGGCCTGGCCACATCTGACAAATGACCATAGCCATTCCCACCAGTATAGCCCAGTCGGCATGCTCTGCCAGACACCGTCATATATGTAGAGAGGCCTGGAGCCAGAAGAACAGGGGCTCCTGAATGGCAGGGGGAGGGATCTGCTTTATGTTAAAAAAACATGAAGGGTATAGAAAGACTAAAGAAGAATATAAAACACCAATTTAACAACCAGAAAAGAGGCAGTTACAAGTTGGTACACCACAAAGACATCAGAGCTTTCTGTTAAATTTAATAATGCAGAGGTTATTATTACAGAGGTCTAGTGTCTAGAGTGTAGAGATTTGCGTTGCTTATCCAAAGGTGGAAAACTTGAATCCACCCGCTGCATCACAGGGGAAATATGGGTAATCTCCTCCCATGTGATTTACAGTCTCTGAAAACTAACTGGAGGGTAAGCCATGAGTTGATTCTGATTCAGTGACAATGACTTTCTGGAGTGATCATTATTTATCATTGCCTTTTACCCAACTCTTCAATGTATAAATTGGTTTAAGGTCTTACAACAGAAATAAAGCAACTGTGATAAAGCAACAGCAACAAGCTTTTCCTGATTTCCAACTACATCCTTAGATCAGACTTCCAGTGAAGGCTGTGGGGTCAGATGACAGTGATCCCACTGTCAGATTCACCAATCAGTGGTCCACTCAAGTGAGCTTTGCTAATTCAGAAAGTGAAGAGTAGAGCCTCCATTGTTTAGGTGACACTGACAAAGTGTAAGTGTAAGACTGGTTAACGTAATGGGTGTCACTGAACTGCAAACATGCCCATGGTGTATTAGATATGCAGGTAACATGTTTTACGACAGCAAAAATCAAAGCAGTCCATTGTTTCTTCTTGAATTTTCATTCCAATGATTACTGTGTACACTGAACTTCACTGCCTCCTTTGCATTTCAGTTGGATCCCTAACTCAGGACCTTGCTGGGAGCTCAGGCCTCACAGGATGCTGGATGCTGGCCAGTGCTCTGATGAGCCCCACTCAGGCCAGGGCAGGAGATAGGGTTCAAGAGAGAGCAGGTGATGGGTCAGAATAGTCTGGCTCCTGAGCTCACCCTCGACAGTCAGCACACAAACAGATCTCTCTACTAACAGTGTTACAACACTTACTTCAGTTTCTTGCATATCCTTCATCATTTTGGCAAAATGGAGAGATTCAAAAGCATCTTTATTTAGCCAAGAAGTTAAGGCACAGTAAGCACCATCTACTAAGAATGTGCAAAAGTCAGCTCACAAGGAATGTGTCAGTGTTGAGGATTCTCAACCAGAGCTTCCTCCAGTGCAGGGGTGAGAATCTCCACTCCTACACCCCATGCACACCACTGCCCTAATGTGAGTATGAAAGATTACTGTTTGTTGTTATCTGCCATTGAGTCACCTGAGACTTATAGTGACCCTATGTACAACAACTCCGAAGCCTGCTGTGTTCTGATCCAGTCTAATTGACTCAAACATGCTTACCCCCATTGCCCCAGTTACTGTATCAATCTATCTCATCCAGGGTCTTCCTCCCTTGAGCTGTCACTCCACCCTTCTGAGCATGCTATCCTTCTCCAAGGATTGATCCCTCCTGGCCTCATGCCCAAAGTATGTGAGACGGAGCTTCAAAATCCTAGCCTCCTTTCCCGTCACATACTCTCCAACATCTATTACTTTCTGCCCTGTTAAACTTTGCCACTATTACTGGAATAAGATGGTACTTCATTGTGGTTTTGATTTGTATCTCTTATTGCCAGTGATTTGGAGCAATTCTTCATGTGTCTGTTAAATATATTCCTCTGTGAAAATTCTTTCCATGTCTTTTGTCCATTTTGCAATACGGTTATCAGTCTTTTTCTTGAGGAGGCCCAGGAGTATTCTGTAAGCTTTTGTAATACGATTCTTATCTGAGATGTTATTATCAAATGTTTGTTCCCAATCTGTAGGTTTTCTTTTCAACCTGTTGTAAAAAAGTTTTAATGCACACAGGGATTTAATCTTTGGAAGGTCCCATGTATCAGTTTTATCCTCTTCAGATTGTGCATTTCTGGTTGTTTTTGGCAGTCTCTTTATACTCTGGATTACTGCTTTTAAGCTTGATCCCAGTTTGACTCTTATGAACATTATGGGAAGGCAGTTTGGTGCTTCCTCAAAAAGCTGGGCATAGTAATTCCATATGACTCAGTTATTCCACTACTTGGAATATATCCTGAGAATATGAAAACTGAGGCACAACTGGAGATTTGTACACCAATATTTATAACAGCATTATTCATCATCACAAGAACATGGAAACAGCCCAAATGTCCAACCACAAAGGTATGGATTGAGAAATTATGGTACATTCACACAATGGAATACTATGCAACACGCAGGAGCAATGATTTTGTAAATTATTACCTAACTTGGGAGGGACTGGAAAGCGTTACACTGAGGGAACTAACTCAGTCCCATAAGGATAAATATTGTCTAAAACCATTATTGTAGAATGAGTATAAGGATCCAAGAGGTGTGGGTTAAGGGTGGAAACAGAGGGCTGAGGATGTGGACAGGGAAGGTGGGATTAATCATGGGGTTGTACAATTTGATGGGTGAGGGGCTGAGGGGAATGGAAAGAATTTGTCCTTGAAAACAATGTATTTGAATTTTGTAAATAAACTAGTAGAAGAAAAAAATTTTTTTTAGCCTCCAAGGAGAAACTTGGTTTCACTTTCTCCAAGACAGACTTAACTGTTTTCTTGGCGGCCCGTGCTTTAGTCAAGACTCTTCTCCAGCACCACAACTCAAAGGTGTTAGTTCTTCTGTCATCCTTAGTTGTCTAGCTCTCTGATGCTTACTTAGCAAGTAATTGTGAAGACCATGGCCTGGATCAGGCACACCTTAGTCTCTTGACTGACACTGTTACTTCTCAGTACTTTGGAAAGGTCACTGAAGACAGATTTACCTAATGCTATTCGTCTTTTGCTTTCCTGACTGCGGGTGTCAAGAGTGTTGATTATGGAGCTGAGCAAGCTATAGCTGTTAACAACCTCAATCTCTTCTCCATCTATCATGGTGCTGCCAATTGGTCCTGTGGTTACAATCTTTGTCTTGTTTATGTTGAGCATCAATTCATGTTGAAGACTACAGTTCTTGACCTTCTGCACCAAGTACTTCAGGTCCTCCTCAGTTTCAGTAGCAAGGATGTGTCATTTGCATAACTAGGTTGTTGATGTGTCTTTCTTTAATCCTGATGGCACATTCTTCCTCATAAAGCTCAGTCTCCTGAATGATCTGTTCTGCAAATAGATTGGAAAGATATGGAGACAGGATGCATCCCTTACACATTCCTTTCTTCATTTTAAACCAAGCAGTGTTTCCTTGCTCTGTTCTAAGGACTGCTTCTGGGTCCAAGTATAGGTTTCACATGAGCACACTCAAGTGTTCTGGGATTCCCATTCTCCTCAAGGTTAGCCACCATTTGTTGTGATCCACACAGCCAAATGCCTTTGCATTGTCAATGAAACACAGATAGATATTCCTCTGGTACTTTTTGCTTTCTGACAAGATCCATCTGACATTGGTGGATAATGTCTCAATTTGAAGTTCCCCAAAGAGGCTGGCTTTGTGGGTAAGAAACCACATTGAGAGTGTCTCAAAGACTCCAATCAAACTCACTGTCATCAAGTGGGTTCTGACTCAATAGCTATCCTCCCCAGCTTTTCTGAGGCTGTGAATCATAACAGGAGGGGGCCACCCATCCTTCTCCCCATTGAGGTGGCTTTGAACCATCAGAGCTGGTAAGCGACAGGACAAACTACACACTACCCTATCCACCAGAGTGCCTTTTGAGACCATTCTTCCAGGCAAATAAAGCATGCCTGATACCATATAACATTAACTTTGACTACTTTCAGCCAAGATTCATCTGACACTGGCTATGATGTCACAATCCCAGCAGAAGTACGCTTCTGTAGTTCTCTACTGATGTACTGTTAATTTTTGGTTAATCTTCAGCAGGATTTTGCTTGTGTGTGATATTAGTGATATTGTTCAATAATTTCCACAGTCCGTTCGGTCACCTTTTTTTTTAAAATGGGAATTAATATGGATTTCATGAAGTCAGTTGGCCAGCTAGTTGTCCTCCAGATTTCTTGGCACAACCTGGTGAGCACATCCAGAGTAGACTGGTATTCCATCAATTCCTGGGGCTTGTTTTTTTCCAGTTTCTTCAGAGCAGCTTGAACTTCCTCCTTTAATACCATTGCCTCTTGACCATATGTTGTTTCATTAAGTTTTCTATGTCAATTCTTTTTGGTATAATGTCTCTGTGTACTCTTTCCAATGTCTTTTGATATTTCCTAGATCATTCAATATTCTGCCAACAGCATCCTTAAGTACTGTAACTCGAGGCTTGAATTTGTTCTTTAGGTCCTTCAGCTGAAGAAATGCTGAGTGAGTTTGTTCCTTTTGATTTTCTGACTCTAGCTCTTTGCACATTTTATTATAATACTTTGTTCTGTCTTCCTGAGCTGCCCTTTGAAGCTTTCTGTTCAGCTACTTAATTTCCCAATTTATTTCCCTTGCTTTGGCTTCTCAGTGTTCTAGTGTAATATTCTGTTTCCGACATCCATCTTACTCTTTTTTTCTTCCTCTGCCTTTGTAATGGCCTTATACATTCTTCATTAATGATATTCTTGATATCTTCCCACAGCCCATCTGGTCTTTGTTCATTAGTGGTCAAGGCCTCAAATCCATTCCTGAGACAGTTTTTAAATTCAGGTAGGATAGACTCAAGGTCAAACCTTGGTTCTTGTGGATTTTGTCTTAATTTTCTTTAGCTTCAACTTAAACTTGTTTATGAGTAGTCGATGGTCTGTTCCATAATCGCCACAATCAGAGAAATGTGTATCTGTGTTTCATCGACTATGCAAAGACATTTGACTATGTGGATCACAACATACTGTGGCTAACTTTGAGAAGAATGGGAATCCCAGAACTCTTGATTCTCCTGGACAGGGTGAAACCAAGTTGCTCCTTTGAGGCAAAGATTTTGAAGCTCTTTCTGACATACTCTGGGCATGTAGCCAGGAGGGACCAATCCTTGGAGAAGGACATCACACTTAGAAGGATGCAGAAGATGGCCCTGGATGAGATGGATTGACACAGTAACTGGGCTAATGAGGGTTGGTGTGCCACAGACAGTGAGACTGGCTCAGGATAGGACAGGGTTCAGAGCCACTGTGCACAGGGTTGCTCTGAGTTGCAGGGGACTCAGTGGCACATGACAACAAAGCTTTGACTGAGAGTTGTGATTCATGCCAATAAGCCCAGGCCAGTTCACAGAAACTGTGTTAGGTTTCTGTTGTTATCAGACCAAATGAAAGTGTTTTCCTCATTGTTCTCAACCTTGGCTGTACAATTGCTGTTTGGTGTGGTTCAGTCACCTATGACTCTTTGTGACCCTGTGAACAACAAATCTGAGCCCTGCCCTTCCTGCACCATCCTCACCATATCTGATGTACTTGAGCCCATTTTTACAATCACTGTGTCAATCCATCTCATCAAGGGTCTTCCTCTTCTTCACCAACTCTCTGCCTTTCTCAGTATGATGTCTTCTTCCAATGACCTCCAACTTCTGAAAACATGCCCCCACATGACTCTAGCTTACAATAAAAAGCCCCAAAACAGCCATGGTTCTTTTAACTGGCGCAAACCTGGTTGCCACATCATACCTTCTGGATCAGAACCTGTAGGGTGGGCTCAGCCCTGGCCTCTCAGGGGGAATCTGATGAGATTTAAAGTTTAGGGTTCTATCTAGGTATAAGCCCCTTTCTTAGAAAAGAGGGAAGAGTATGTATGCCCCAGTGGCACTACTTCGTGAGACAGTAGTTGGTTTCACTAGTTCACACTAGGCTAGAGGCGCCTTTCTGACTCCCCACTCCCACCAAGAGTGCCACTACCTGCAGGTCCATCTCTGTTAAGCTGATCAGCATCCTTGCTATGAACCTCTGCCAGAAGCCAATGGGAACGAAGCTCATCTTGAACACCCTCTGGATGGTGTTTAGTGTGGGATGCCGCATGCTGTGGGTGTCCAGGCCAGGCTTGGAGGGAAGCAGGTGTGGCAGGAGGTAGCTGAAACACATCAATGAGGCTGTATGAACCACACAGTTCCTCTCTCCTGCAAGGGCCTCATGGACCAGGGATCACACGCTCCAGGACCATGACCATGAGGTATGAGACTGGGACCGTGACGTCTGAGACTATAACCATGAGGTCTAGGACAGGCTCTGTGGAACTCTTTTGGAGCCTCTGGAAAGTTATTTTCAAGAATGGATAGTGGCTTATGTGCTGAGACTATACTCCCAGGAAAATTAAGATGACACTCATCAGGGGTTCTTGGAGACTAGACTACTGCTGTGCAGAAAGATGCTATGTTGTTAATATTGGTGGTCAAAATGGAGCTTATTTTCTATCATGGGGGTTGACATAGAAGAATCAGTCAGTTGAAGTGATTTTTGAGTTGGGAAGGAAAAGTAAATACAACTGCACATGTTCAAGGGCAAAGGGGACATCAAGATCAGAAAAGTGCATCTGGCCTTCCAAGGCACTTATCATTCTTGTCCAGTAGAAACAACACAACGTTCTTAAAAAGAGAACATTTGTGCAAAAGAGGGTGTTTTACAAGAACACTGGTGCTCCTCATGAGAATGCCCTGTCACGGTGTTGGAGACATGCCTCCTAGTGTGCATCTTAGGCAGATACAGCCAGAGCCCAGGCAGCCCCAGAGTATGTGTGTAAACCAGACTGCGTGAGCTGTGCAGAGTGTATGAATGTCAGCTTGTGAGTGTGAGAGTGTAAACACACAACTATGAGCTGTTTGTAAACATCAGACTGTGTATGAGCTGTGTGCGTAGAATGTATGAATGTCAGAGTGAGCTGTGAGTGTAAACATCAAATATGAGCTATGTGAGATCATTAGACTCTGTGTGTGTGTGTGTCTGTAACTATGCAGGTTGTGAGTGTGAAAGTATGTGTGAACATCTGACTGTATGTATGAACTATAGACTGTGAGCTATGAATGTCAAAGTGTCTGTGTGAACATCAGACTGTGTGTGGACTGTGAGTCACAGGGGAGCGCCCCACAGCACCAGGGGGATGTGCTAGCAGCACGTCATTTTCTTAACAAAGGCTTTCCCTTCCCTCTCCTCACAGTTTACAAGAAATTTGTGCCTGTCCAATAAATGTTTTTAGAACTTTCCAGAAGACACTCCTGGCTGGCCATTCTAAGAGCTTTCGCCTCACTCGAAATGCACATGCTTGGTCTGGAACCCTCTCTTCCTTACCTGCTGAGTATGTCTCTCCCCAGGGAAACAGGAAGAGGCAGGTGTTACTTCTGAGGGCTGATAAGAATGAACTGAGACAGTGCACAAGTCGTGAGGCAGGGCCAAGGCCCCTAGGAGTGGGAGAGGAAGGCAAGCTTCTCCTTCATTCCATACTACCTTGATCATGAGATGTCACTGGTTTTTGATACAGATTGCCAGGTCATCTTGCTTCCTATTTGGTCTTAGTAAAAAACTCTCTTGAAACCTATTCACCACGGACAGCAGCACCAAAGCATCCAGAGACAGGTTGTGGAAGTGCCAGTGTGTGCCCTGAATCAAACCAGGCTTCCTCGGAAAAGGTAAAACCCTCTTATCATTACAGGAGGATGGAATCTTAAGCGCTTGTCCCATGTACACCTGAGCCCTCACCTGGACCATGCCCAGCTCTCTGTTCCTCATCTCACCTGCCGGTGTGCACACCTGAGCCCTCACCTGGACCATGCCTGGCTCTGTGTTCCCAGTGCATCTCACCTGCAGTGTGCACAGGTGAGCCCTTACCTGGACCATGCCTGCCTCTCTGTTCCCAGCTCATCTGACCTGCTGGTGTGCACACCTGAGCCCTCACCTGGACCATGCCCCGCTATCTGCTCTTAGCTCATCTCACTTGTTACCTGCTGGTGTGCAGACCTGAGCCCTTACCTGGAACATGCTCGGCTTTCTGCTCCCAGCATATCTCACCTGCTGGTATGAGACTTCACCTGGGCCATACTCTGCCCTCTGCTTACAGCTCTCATCATGCTGATGTGCACACGTGAGCCCTCACCTGGACCATGCCAGGCTCTCTGTTCTTAGCGCATCTCACCTGCTGTTGTGCACACCTGAGCCCTCACCTGGACCATGCCTAGCTCTCTGCTCCCAGCTTATCTCACCTGCTAATGTGAGCTTTCATCTGGGCCATACCCGATTCTCTGTTTAAAGTTCTCATCTTGCTGATGTGCACATGTGAACCCTCACCTGCCCTCTGTCTAACTGTTGAGCTGTCTGCTCCCAGCAAAGCTGAGAACTCACTTGTGTGTTCTAGAAGTCCATGACTGTCCATCAAACCAGCAGCTCTTTTGAACCAAGTACCCCACAGGCCTAGTCTGAGAGGTGCCTCCTTATAGGATTCAGTTCACAGCTGTTGCTGCAAAAAGGGCTCTGGCTCCCTCCCACATTTAGAAGGCTGAACACAAAACTGATGGGATCTGAGCAGAATATGGCAAAGGGAAAGCAAGGCTGTACTGAAAAAACTCTGGGCTGCCTACAGTGGGTGCAGGGCATGCTGGACAGCCAGATGCTGATGGCGTTTTAGGGAGGGTGGCTGGTACAGGTATGTCCTGGGGTCCTGGTTGCCTTATGGCAAAGAAATCAACTTTGGACCCAGGAAGTGACTGGAAATTAAACTAGGGCAAAAAGTCACAGGTACTAACTTAGTTTAAACTCTAGCATTCCTGGGTCTGTACTCAGGAGCTCGCCCCCAATAATTCACTTCTGCCCATGTTCCCGGCCTGACAGCACACCTGAGGAATCCATGGAGAATGAGAACATGTCTTATAGTGGGATGTCTAAAGCAGGAAATACTACAGGAGGATGAGAGAAAGCTCTGAGAGGTGGGAGGTTTCCGGACTGAGTAAAAGGTGAGAAACAAGCCCTGGTAGGGACTGAGGTCACACGAAGGGCAGAGCCAGAAACTCCCCGGGTTCAGAGCTGAGGAAGAACCATGTCTGGCCAGTAGATTATGGAAAGAGGTCTTTAAAGGGCCATAAGAAAAAACCCAAAACAAACAAACAAACAAAAGCCCAAACTTTATTAGGGATTATACAAGCAAGAAAAATGTCCATCAAGGGTGAGAGCAAAATAGTCATCTTAATAAAATAAAAAGTTTTGCACAAAAGAGACAGTCTGTTGCCATCAGATCAGAATTTTAAGAAATGCTAACCGGAAGTTCTTCAGGCTGCAGATACTACAGAAGAGTTGGGACTACAGGATAGCACCAAAAGTAGCAGAAATAAGAAATATAATTTGTTAAAAGGAGATTGTTTAAAGACTTAAAGGCAGACTACACTGGTGGGGCAGGCAAGCCAGGAGAGTGACCAGGAGTGTGACTACCCGGCATCACAGAGGGACAGTAGATCAGGCGGAGTGACGGGGAGTGTAACCACCCTGCACCACAGAGGGACAGGCGGGCAGGCAGAGTGACTGGCAGTGTGACTGCCCCGCACGACTGAGGGAGAGGACAGTAGGCAGAGTGACCGACAGTGTGACTGCCCCGCACCACAAAGGGATGAGACAGTAGGCAGAGTGACCAGCAGTGTGACCGCCCTGCACCACAGAGGGACAGAACAACAGGCAGAGTGACAGGGAGTGTGACTGCCCTGAACCCTGAGTGACAGGACAGTAGGCAGAGTGACCAGGAGTGTGACCACCTGCACCACGGAGGGACAGGCGGGCAGGCAGAGTGACCGGCAGTGTGACAGCCCTGCACCGAGGGACAGCACTTGACTCTACCTGAGCAGCTTAGTGCTTGGTGTTGAGCCCAAGTGCTGTCTCATTAAAATGCTGTGTGATGTCAGTTATCTCCAAGGACAATTAGCATCAAATGGTGTTTTAAGGTGTATGGAGACACATGAGCTGCTGTGAAAAAAATATAATAAAATCTATGTAAAAGTGGAATTCAAACCTGTGTGTTTAGGGCCAGCTGAGCACTATCCTAAGTTTGACATTCTATGTGAAGCAGTATAATATTAATTCCAAGTGATTGTGGTAAGTTAAGAATACATGATGACAGAAGAAGAATAGATGTCTTTGAATTGTGGTGGAGAAGAAGGGTCATGAACATACCATGGACGGCCAAGAAAATAAATAAGTCTGTCTTGAAGAGGGTGAAACCAAGTCTCTCCTTGGAGGCTAGGGTTTTGAAGCTCCGTTTCACATACTTTGGGCACGTGGCCAGGAGAGATTGGTCCTTGAAGAAGGACATCATGCTTCGAAGGGTGGAGAGACAGTGCAAGAGAGAAAAACCCTGGATCAGATGGATTGATACAGTAGCTAGGGCAATGGGGTTTGTTGTGTGGGAATTCGTAAGACAGGCTCAGGACAGGACAGGGTTAAGAGCTGCTGTACATAGGGTCACCATACATCGCAGGTGACTCAACGGCACATAACAACAAGAATATACTATATTGGTTATTTCTTATTTAAGCCTCTTGTTTAAAGTAAACAAGACCTTGGGGAGAACTTTTGTATTTAAAAGTTGGTTGCTATTATATTTTGGAGGAACATTATTCTAAGTGGTACAGGACTCTTCTTCAATATGCTGTACAAAGGTAACCTGGGGTTGCTGTGATGCTGAACCTCGTGCCGCTGGGGTGTCAAATGACCTAATGGTTACCCATGGCAGACAGTGTTTGGTGAAGTTCCTAGTTTAAGGCAGGTCTGGAAGCAGGAGTGGCATCCACTTCCTAAACAACATGCCTCAGGAAACTCTATGAACTTCGATAAATGATGTTATAGAAAGACTTCAGGCCTTTTGTTCATAGGGTCACTATGAGTTGTGCTGGACTCAATGGCAATCAACAACAACAACAATCCTAGATCAATTACACATGCAAAATTACTAAGGACAATAGCTAGAAAGCTAATTGTTGTTGTTATACCATAGAGTCAGAACCAACCCATAGCTGAACCTCCAGCGGGTTTTCAGGGGCAATTAATCGTATAGGAGTAGACTGTCCATCCTTCTCCCACAGAGCAGCTGGTGGCCTCGAACTGCGTGCCTTCAGGATTGCAGCAGAGCTTCTTAGCACTAGGCCACCAGAGTATAGAATAAAAATGATTTTAACCCAGGACAAGACAGGACAGAATGTACAAAACAATAAAAATAAGTGGTGTAAATGAAAATTAGTAGCACTATCAGGCTTAAATTTATTGAGTACTTACATTAAGTGTAAATAAACAAAATATTCCTATTAAAGGGTAGAAATTGCCAGAGGACAAATGTAGACTCTATTTTAATAATCAGTTAAGCAGAAATAAAAGAACAGGAAAACCACAGGGAATGAATGAAGCTGACTGACATCACTATTTTCCCATCAGACAGACTGATTTCAAGATGGTAACAGGAATAGTTGTTGTTGTTGTTATGTGCCATCGAGTCACTTGCGACTCATAGCGACCCTATGTATAACAGCCCTAAACTCTGCTCTGTCCTCTGCCAATCGCACTGTCTCTGACACTCCCTTCCCGATTATCCCAGTCACTGAATCAATCCACCTCATAGAGGGCCTTCCCCTCCTGCGCTGTCCCTCCACCCTCCCAAGCATGATGTCCTTCTCCAAGGACAGGTCTCTCCTCACAGCATGTCCAAAGTATGTTAGATGCAGCCTCAGAATCCTTGCCTCCAAGGAGCCACCCAGTTTAACCCTTTCCAGGACAAATCTGTTTGTTTTCCTAGCAGTTCATGGTATTCTCAATACTCTTCTCCAGCACCACAGCTCAAAGGCATCAATTTTCCTTCTATCCTCCTTGGTCATTGTCCAACTCTCTGATGCATAACAAGTGATTGCGAAGACCATGGCCTGTATCAGACGCACCTTAGTCTCCAGAGAGACACCATTGCTCTTCAGTACTTTGGAGAGGTCCCTAACAGCAGACTCCCATGGCAATGCACCTTTTAATTTCCTGGCTGCTGGTGCCAAGACTGTTGAAAGGAATAGAGACATTCTAAAATAATCAAAGCGTGGTTCACCAGGAAGGTGATAAAAAATTGCAAATGCATATAATAATTAATAAAAGCTTCAAAAGACATGAAACAAAAGCTGACAGAAATCAAAGGAGAAATAGACAAATTCACAATCATTGCTGTAAGTGTTCATCTTCTTTTCTGACAGATCAGTAGGATAAAAATCCTAAGGAGGTAGAATGTTTGAGCACCATGACCTCTTTTGGGAGATAATGTTTTCTTCTTGTGGTTAGGTGCTGTCGAGTCAACTAACACTCATAGTGACCCCATGTACAACAGATATGAACCTCGCCCTACCCTGTGCCATCTCACCATCTCCGACACGATCTGTCGCATTGTTTCTGTGTCAATCCATCTGGTTGAGGATCTTCCTTTCTTTCTCAGACCCTCTGCCTTTCCCAGCACACTGTCTTTTTCTAAGAACTGACCCCCTGACAACAAACATGCCTTAAGTATGAGGAAGTTCTCCATCTTTGCCTTTAAGAAACATCTGGTTGCATTTTCTCTAAGACATATTATTTGTTCTTTGGCAGTCCATGGATATTCAGTGCTCTTCTCCAACACCACAGCCCTTAGTACTGATTCTTGAGATTCTTTGGAGCTGTAAGTGACTAAGTATTTGATAGTATTGACCAGTTAGCAGCTACCCACCTCACAGTGCTGCTCCTGCCTGCATTCTCCCATCTTTCCACCCCTTTCAATGAGCTGTGTGCATGTGAGGGGCAGCCAGCTGAGGCCTGCTCCCCATTCCTGCCACCAGCTCCATGCTCAAGGTTGTCAACAGAGACCTCAATCCCACCTTTATACCACATGGCAACCTGCACAGTGGCCCCAGCCTTACCTGTCATTGGCCACAGGCAGGGCAATCTCGAACTTGGCCAGGAACTGGAAGTACTGCTCCTCAGTCTGCTGTGTGAAGCCAGTGCCCACCAGTAGCAGCCTGAGGTCCTCTGCACGGATCACCCCATTCTTGGCCACAGATCTGGAGCCTTTGAGGTTGAAAATCCTCTGGAGGCACTCGGACAGCCAAATGGGGTCGAGGAAGTAGAGGTTCCGCAGGCCATGGCTCGTGTCCGGGAAGTGCAGGAGTGAGCCCGTTTCTATGAGGAAGCTGATGGCTGCCCCAGTGAAGGGCAGGGCCCAGCATTAGAGAAGGGGGCACTGTTCCTGGAGCTCAGTCTCAATTCTTCCTGATGCAAGTCCTGCACAGCAAGAGTCTGAGACTGTCAGTAGGAATGGCAGCACCTCTACCGGTACTGTGGGAGTCCCTGGGGTGCAGATGTTTAACAGACTGCTTGAATGAGGGCTGAGATAGGCTAACGGCAGAGAGGAACCCCGCGGAACACTCCGTCAACACTCTGGGACTGCGCGGTCAGCACTGATTTCACAGCAATTCAATGACTGGTTTCCATGATAACCTGTCCCCTCTACTCAGTCACCTCATCTGACAATCAACTGGGTAAAACATTGTTTAGCATCAGTCTACTCGGCGAGCTGTTAGCCTCTGAGTGCAGAGAACAATAGAGGGTACTTATAAAGGGATCCCAGGTGGAAGCAAGAAGGGCTCTCTCTCTCTATTATAGCACCATATTTATGTGCAGAGTCAAGCTGGAGCCACCAGCGTGGTCATTCCCTGTCTGCCATTGAGCACCGCCTCTCTGAACCTGTCCCGTTGTCCCAGTCCCTGGCTTGCCCACTCACCAGCCTGGAGGTCCTCATAGTCCCAGATGTCGCTTTCTGGGGTCTGCTCCACCAGCTGCTCCAGCTGCCTGTCCGTCAGGTACTGGACGGCATTGCTCTGGCTACGTTGCTGCTGCTCTGCCAGGACTGCCTCCTGGAGACTCAGGTAGCTCTTAGGAACCTAGGGGTTACAGGGGCCAAGGTGGGGCATCCAGGCTGGTTCTAGGGGACCCAGTTCCCCCTGTTTATGGCTTGAGGCCTCAGGCAGGCAGAATTTGAGGGCACAACCCACTCTCTCCCAAGATCTATTCAGGTGGGGACCCCTAACCCAGACCCTTCCCCATGTGGCTCCACCCTGGGCTCAGATTTGGCGTGATGACTTTACCAGCCTCCCGGCAAGACGCTGACAGCCGATGGTGCTGCCCACATCCTTCATGCCACAGATGACCTGGAAGATGAGGTGCCGCAGCTCCTCGTGACCCTCCAGGTTCTTGGAGGAGAGCTCGCTGTGGAGGAGAACCGCCTCTGCTCAGAGCCTGTGTGTCCCAGGGTCACCCACTGCTGGCAAGTCCAAAGGACATGCAGAAATGGGCAGGAAGTGTGCGAACTACTTGCTTTATGCAGAGATGCACGCTGAGCATCCTGGTCTCCTAACCTCCTCTCCTCAGACAGGGAGCACCAAGCCAAGGAACTCAGCAGCCCTAGGGACAGGGCAGACGTGCAACCTCCAGCCCAGCCCAGCGCTCTGAGGCCTTCTCGAGGGCAGAGAGGAAGTCCCTGGGTCCTGTGCCAAGCAGGTTGTCCCCAGGCTGGCTCCAGCTTTGAGGGTGTGATTCCACTGGAGTGAGGGGAGTAGGACCAAGAGCTGCCAGCTGCAGCACGGCGCCCCTGTGGGGACACTGCCAGAAGGCTCACTTAACTCAAGGAGCCTCAGTTTTAACACTTCAGTTTTAATGTGGGCATATAACCACTATACCCTGTGGCTGTTGTCGAAGCTTTGGTTAAGCAACAATCACAGGGCACTGGTACCAACTGCACCAGCCCATCACCTCTCCTATGGGGTTGGCACCAAGCCTGGGTTTGGTTCCTGGTAAGTGACCGCAAATGCTTAAAGGTGGGTGCAGGTCTGCACCTCTAAGTCCTCCTTCCCTCTCGTGCTGAGCTGCCACCCTCCTCCCTAAGGCCCTGGTGGTGAGCCCCTCCTTAGGCGGCCTCGAATTGCACCAGGGACAGCCCAGGTGGCCCAGGCACTCACTGTAAGTGCTTGTTGGTGATGTCTGGGAAGCCTGTGGCTCTGGCCCCTGAGGGTGAGCGGCAGAGTGCCAGCACGTAGGCCCGGAGGGTGGCAATCCTCTCCACACGGAATTTGGCTTCAATTAAGTCCAGGTGCGTTCCCACCACTAACACCACTGAGTTTGGGGCCTTGGCCTTGAGAAAAAGAAAAGTGCAGAGTTGAGCACCACCCCCAGTCTACCAGGAGAGGCCTGTTCCTGACCCAGTCTCTCTCAGCAAAGTTTATATAGCCCGGCTGTGTGCCAAAGTGCTATCACTGGCTCCCTGTGGTGTCAAGGACAGATGCTGGGGCTGTGGTGCCCTCAGAGGCTGCCAGCGTGCCCTCTGCAGACACTGTGTTGTGTCTTGTCACCTGAAAAAGGAAAAATCTTGGACCCCTTGTGGTCCCAAGAGCAGGCTTCTTACATTTAAGGTAAACAAGAAAAGTTTTACAGCCATCATGCCTAGAAGGATTCTTTTTTGGGTTAATTGATATGTTCTTTTAACTTTATGGTAACTCTTGGCAAGAATTACATAAGGCAGTTATTCCAAACTAGAGGTGACAATTAAAGAAAGTCCTCAGAAATGCCACAAAGCATGAGCCCTCCTTCCATAGTCTATGGTCTTCAATGAGGATAGTTCAATATGTCCCTTTCCTCTCCTCCTCCTCAGGGACAGTCTCTGGAAATCTCTGAAACACATGTCTCTACAGACATAAGAGTTATGGAGCTCCCCTAACCTCCAATCATGACAGCCAGTGTTGCAAATCTTTCTCTCTCATCATGTGTGTTAATATATATTATCTACATATCTTGCTGGTTTTATTTGTCTAGAGAACCCAAATGAAGACCATCTTCATGAAGCAAAAGAGGATCTGAATTGCCAATATAAGTTGAAGCTTTGTTAGCTCAGGCTCAGCGGAGGCCAAGAGGAGTTGAAGGTCTATAGGAAGTCGTTTGATGGATTCCACAGCAGAAATGGCAGGATCCATGCATGACTCTTGGGCACTCAAGATGCATCTATTTTTCTTAACAAAACTTACTTTTATTAAGTGAGAATGAAGCAGAGCTATGGCTCAGAGTCTCTGAGGAGGGAAATGTTCTGGTGTCTACTCACCTCAATGTTCAGTAGCCAGAACTGGAGGCTGGCCACGGCCTCCTCGCCCAGTGCCAGGTTCCAGACCACCATGTACAAGGCCTTGTCCGTGAAAAAACACTGATTGACTGTGGCCATGCTGGCTGGGCCACCAATGTCCCAGACGTTGAACTCCACAGATTCTACCTATTTTAACAAGGGCAGCAATAGTGAAATATTTTTAAACATAACCAAGCTTTTAGTAAACCAAATAGAGATAACTACTATTTTGACTCTGTACTTGGAGGCCTGGAAAATAAAAGATGGTACAAAAACGCTGGAGGCCTGTGGTTTCTCTCAGGAATAGTACTCAAAGGGAAGGGGCCAGACACTCGGAAGCAGACTTCTAGAAGCTTTGATCCACTGCTCACAGAGCAGCAGTATGGCCAACGCTAGATATTTTCCTGAGAAATATTCAAAGACATTGTTAAAGATGGTTTGGAGCAGGCTGCCAGAAGGAGCCTCTGTGTCCAGACATGGCCTCAGCCCCACCCCAGGGGATGCAGCTTCTCCTCAGTCTGCCTGGGTCTCCAGCTTGTGTAGGCCAGAGACCACCATCCACCAAGGATGCTGGGAAACTCCCTTGACGTGAGAATCAAACAAAAGATTAGTTGCTGGGCTGTCAGGAAAGTCTGTGTAAACTGTGGTTTCTCTAGCATTTTATGAGCTAAGAGTCTGGCTTGAGAAGCCAAGGCTGCAGATTTCTGTAGCCAGAACCCTTCCACGTTGCTGCAATTCTGGTGTCTGAAACACAGTATACGAACCTGCTTTTGTGTAAAAGTAAGAACAGACAGATGCTGTAAACTGACTGAAAGTTGGAACCCCGAGAGTTATGGGACAGAATGTCTATCTCTGGTCAAGCTCCTCAAGACTAAGGGGCTGTTCTCCAACCACAGGAAAACCCTTAGCCATGGAAAGGGCAGAATAGAAGACATATTCACTCCTTGGTCCTGTACAACCACTGACTATAAAACAGCTGGAAGAAAGTCAGATCAAATGATTGTTTAAAAAGCAAGGCATCTACAACATTGGTCCTCATAGTCTGGATTGTGGTTTCTCATTTCCAGAGCCTCTAATGCCTTGTTTGTTTGGCTTTTGCTTGCAGAGTCCTGTAATTCTTTGAGTTTGTGTTTTACTCATTGAGAATGTTCAATCATTGCTCTTCTCAGTTCTGTGTCAGAAAATTCTATTAGACTTTCTGGCTTCAGGAAATGAGATACCATCTCACCCCAGTTCAATAGAGCAACAAACAACAAATGCTTTTGAGGTTGTGGAGTGATTGGAAATCTTACTCACTTCTGGTGTGAGTGTAAATGGTGTAACCACTATGGAAGGTGGTATGGTGCTTTCTCAAAAAGTTGGAAATAGAAATACCATTTGACCCAGCAATTCCATTACTAGAAATATACGTTAAAGGAACAATAGCTGCCACCTAAACAGATACACGCATACCCATGTTTATTCCCACATTATTCATAATATCCAAGAGACGGAAGCAACCCAAGTGCTAATCAACAAATGAATGGATAGAAAGACTATGGAGTAGTCACATAATGGAATACTACACAGCACTGAAAAATGAGAAACTCATAAAATATTATACAATATGGGTGACCCTGGAGGACATTATGCTGAGTGAAATATTAAAAAAAGGACAGATACTTCATAACACCATTGTTATAAAACAGGACTGACATGGGGCTTGAGGGAAACTGAGAAAAGAGGGGATACATAATGAATGCTGTATTAGAAGAGATGAAGAACTGTTTAAAAGGAATAAATGATTAGGTATTATTTGTATGACAACAGTCCAGAATAAGAGCTACATAGTAAAGTGGACTGGGGGAGGGGTGGTGGAGGGAGGAAGGAAATTATGCAACAATGAATAAACACTTTTAAAAAATGAACTTGGAGAATAGGGAGGAAAATGTGCAACAATGAATGAACGGAAATTCAACTTTTTTTGCAAATTTTCATTAAAATCACAATAAAAAGATAAATTAAAAACCCATCACAAAAACAACAAAAATAAAAAGCAAGGCAGGTGATAATTCAGAAAATTCTGATAACAATAGAGAACATGTGGGCATGAATTATGGGTTCCACTATTGAGGTCCTCTAGGGCATATCTGCTATTTATTGAGGGGCAGAAGTTGTTTTGTTTGTTCTAACCCCAACAAGCTAATCAATGCGTCACAGGGATCTCAGCCTCCTGGACCCTGAGGGGCTGGATGTGACCAAAGACATGGACAGAGGGGGCAGCACCACGTACGTGCTCATGGCCCAGTTCACACAGCCAGCACCCTTTGCCGGCAATTGCACAGTCCAGGCAAGAAAAAAACCATCTTCACTTGTCTGATACCGAAATGGAAAGCTGGATGGGAGACAGCTTTAAATTTAGGTTGTTTATTTTTCATTTCAATGAACATCTACAGAGATTTTGGAATTCCATTCATTCATTGTTGCACCCTTCTCCCCGCACACCCACCCCGTTTGCTCCTCTCCTTGAAAAGCAAAAGAAAAACCCCCTCATTGGTACACAATCCCCCCCGCACCTCCCCAAACCCCACCCCTTACCCCCAAATATAATCCACTCTGCAACCCTCATTGCATACTCCTACGATAAAAATAATGCCCTAAAATATAATGCTTTTAGATTATTCTCTCCCCCATAGACGTCTTTTAAAGAGGGCTTAACAACATAATCTTTCCCAAATGTGTAGCAAGCAGAGCATGGCCAACACGTCAACTCAGGGGCCTCTTAGCCTCTGAGGAGGGGCACTGCTGGCTGTGGTGGGCAGCAATGATGCTCAACTCATGGAGGATTCTACCACAGACCCCCGAATCGGAATCTCTGGGGCCAGTGCAAGAATTGTGATTGTGAGAAGCTGCTCAGGGAATCTAACCAGAAGGGCCATCAGACTAGAGCCTCCTTTACCACAAAAGTTATGTAAGTTATGCTATTTGTTGTCTACAGAGGATCCTGGAACAGGATACAAACCCTCTGTGAGGGGGCCATACTAGGAGTCAGACCCCACAGAGAGAGCTCAGGAGCAAAGGCTGGTCCGAGGATGGCCCACTTCTCACTCAATCCCCCCAGTCCCCACCACTGCATGTCAGCCATCCTTGACCTTGGCCTTCGAGCCAGCTGGCCGGTGAAGCTCCCACTTGGTGGTTCTGATGGCAGCCTCACTGTGTATTTCCTGAGGGACCTTGCCAGTCTGCAGGATCTCCAGGAGGACAGACTTTCCCTGGCGAGGGGGCCCCACGATGATCATCTTCATCAGCTTGCACCGCTCAGCCCTCCGCAGCTGAGCACGCAGGTAGGACAGCATTGCCTTGGGGCCTGTGCAGCAACCAGAGGGAGCATCAGGACTGCTGGGAGAGTGGACACATGCTCCTCACAGGAAAAAAAGCCCTAAAGAGCACCTCCAACATGTTTTGGCAGGAAGTCTGAGTCTATATACTGTTTCTCAGTCAACATGGGTGGGGAACCCCACTGTCCCTCCTCAGATGCTGGAACTGGAGCTGTGCTTCAAGGGCTACCTTGTTGGGCCCAAGCTTCTTGGAGGAAACTGCGGCCATGAGGCTGTAGAGGTCTCCAGGCCGGAGCGCAGCCCCTCCACCTGGGGAGTGGCCTGTTGCAGACAGGTGTTCTTTGCTTTGTTATCAGGTGGGCTCTCTCTCTAATTACAGAAAGAACAGGGCAGATGCAAAGATGTGCATATATTATAATGGAGGTGAAGGATCCTCCATAACAGGGAATGTCCAGGGCTATTGGCAAGGATCCTTGGTTAAACTGCTCAGCTTCTAATGAAGGCTGGCAGTCCAAACACACCAACTGCTCTGGAGGAGGAAGAGGAGGCAGTCGGCTTGGGACCCTGATGGGGCAGCTCTGCTCTGCCCTATCTAGTTGCTAGGAGCTGAAACTGAACCTGTGGCAGCAGGTTAAGAGTTTGGACTATTTCCTGTTGTTGACTGATGAGGAAGGAACTGACACGGCTGATATCCCAATTTGAGGTTTTAAACCTCCAGAACAGTGAGAAAATAACTGCTGTTCTTTAAAGCTATCCACCCAAGGGCTGCATGTTTCAGTAGCATGAGGAAATCAAGACACCCACCTTCTTTCTGAATCTCAGCAGGTATGTTGCTGATGTGCAGGTCTTCAACATCCAACTGCCAAAGGTTCCCCAGACGCCCTAGCTCCTGAGGAAGTTCCCGCAGGCCAGGGTTGCTGAGGATGAGCACACACACACAGAGAGAGAGAGGGAAAGAGAGAGAGAGAGAGAGAGAGAGAGAGAGAGAGAGAGAGAGAGAGAGAGAGAGAGAGAGAGAGAGAGAGAGAAACTTTGTTGACCTCTGCTGCATGAGAGGGACAGAGTCCCCTAGGACCTAGTAATCTATTTTAGCAAGTCAAAGCACTTCTCCCTGGGACGTCTGGGTAGAAAAGGCAGCTCTATTTCCCGCAGGTCCCCTGAGCTCAGAGCTGGGACCCTACTCCCCTGTCTCCCCACTAGTAGACACTACCATGAGGACTGCTGTTGCAGCGTAAGCAGGGCACCCACTCTGGCTTGCACTGTCTTCAACAGATGCCTCATCAGTGCAGGGGGGGCAGTCGTGCTTCTCCTTACAGCATTACAGAACACTGCCCCACAGTGCTGTCTTCCTCCTCCTCCACACAATCTAGACTTGACCCACTCCTCCACTTTCTGTCCCTAGAGGGTCAGGGGAGAGGAGAGATGCAGGCCCAACGGTGACAGGCACTTACTTCCCCAGGTAGAGCTCGGACAAGTTCCTCAGTGAGCAAACTGATGGGGGCATGACTTCCAGGTGGTTGTCATTCAGACACAAGACCTCCAGAGAGTCACTGAGGAAGGCTGGGAACTCCAGCGCATAGCCTGCAGGGAGACAACACAGCTGACTGGACATTTACAAGGCCCAGGCCATCGGTGGGGACAGAGGGAGCAGCCACTGGTGAGCACTGTGGTAGAGCTACAATCACCTGGCGATTCTAACTGTGGAAATTATCCTTTAGACATCCTTGCATGCATGGCAAGGACTGTCCTTAGGACACAGTCCGAAGTCTGCAGTAGCCAGGAAGAGGAAACCAGACACAGATACGGGATAATGCAAACCTTTGAGAACAAACAGGCCAGGTCTATATACATGTGTACGGAGATGCAGAGACGCTCAAAGGCTACTCAAAGCATTGTGGTTAGGTGGTGGCCCTCCAGGGGGCTTTTGGAGGCAGTGAATCACATGGGAGAAGACTGCCCATCTTTCTGAGGAGCAACTGGTGGATTCAGCCTCCCCTGGGTTGGTAGCTCATCTCCTCACCCACTAGGGCACCAGAGCCTCCTATGTACCCTTCAGTGCTGTTTAGAAACTGTTTTCTCATGTACTTATACTACTTTTTTCAATTCAAAGAAGTTTTTGTTGTTGTGTACTGTTGAGTTGGAACCAACGCACAGATGATCCTTGGGAGGGCTTTCAGGGACAAAAGGGGAGACTGTCCCATGGAGCAGCTGGTGGGTTCAAACCACATGCCTTCAGGTTTAAAGCACAGCTTCTTACTACTAGGCCACCAGAGCTTCCTTCAAAGAAGATAGTTGATTAAAAAAAAATACTAAAATGAGACACATCGTTAAGCTTCTCAGGATGATGGCACATTCTGAAAAAACAGCCAAGATTCGGGGTTCTAAGCAGCCTCCATAAGCAGACTAATTATGAGGCCCCTGTATGTCCACGTTGCCATCTGTACCATGCAGGAGACTTGGAAACGCCACCCGACAGAAGTCACAGACTCAGATCACAGGGGTGTCTCTGAAGGGCCTTTATCCTCTGGATGCAGAAGGACTAGGGCAGTACAGTAACTCCCTGGGCCTCACTCAGCCTGGAGAACTCTAGATAAAATAAGGCCCACAAATCCCTCTCCAGCTCCCACAGCCAGATATGAGAGACAGAGAAGCCAGATTTTTTTTTGTTGGGCTAAGGCCATGTTCCACTGCCCTTGCTCACAACTTTCCTTCGTTTTGGCTTCTGTCCACAGACAGAGCTGCTCTATCAATGGTTATGGGGTAACCTGGCCTCAGAGAACATTGTGGAGAGGCAGGAACGGAATAGCAGAGTGCAGGAAGGCTGCCAGGAGTGGTAATAGGAGCGCTGTCCTGAGAGCACATAGTTGCCTCAGGTCTGAGAGACGACTTTGTGTCAGAGCTTTTATAAAAAATTGCTCAAAAATGTGGGGTGTTGGGTTTCCCCCCCTTCTTCAGTGAAAAGAGATGACGAACCTTACCTTATCCTGATTTGCATTTTATTAGAGAACATCAAGAACAAGAAAGACTTTCTTTCTTCCTAGAGTGCACTTTGAACACCTGCATGTTGTTGCATTTCAATTCTGAAGTTTTGCCTGGTGTTTATTTGGCTTCTTTAAGTAACTGGTGGAGGGAACACAGGCTGCATTGCAAACAGTACCTGCCACGCTCCTGACGTGGATGGGAGGAGAAAACTCTGGGCTGCAGAGGATGTTCTTATGAACTTATTTATTTGTAAGTTATTTGTGATTGCTGGTCTGAATTTGACCATAAAAAAACACCCATCCAAACTATTTTTGGACACACTGGCTGCATACCATGGCTGCATGAGCATCCATCCACATTTGACCTGGAATTTCACTACCCATCTGCAAACGAACTGTTTTTCACAGATAAGTCCTTACCCACATGCTACAAGCTCCAGAAGGCAACCACAGTGGTGTCCTCCAGGGATATGGTTTCCCCCCCAGGAATGTGGTCCCCAGGGCCACCACAGCTGATGTCTGCTGCCCATCCCCTTGCATCACATACCCCTTCCTCATTAACAGTTTCATCAAAAGCCAGCATTTCTCCTTGGGGCCAGCTGGTGATGGTCACATTTTCACGTCCTCTCCTAGGCCCTGTGAAGGGGCCTATCCTTCTAAACCTGGGCTGGGACTCAAAGGGAAAGAGCTCAGCCCACTAGCCACAGACTAGCTGCTCTTTCATGAATGACACCGTATTTAGGCATCAATGAAAAGAAAGTGTTTTATTTCTCCTTTCCTCCTAGTGAAATACCTGTCTGGACTCAATTTCTCAAATCCTGATGCTTTTCATTTTCAACACAATCATCTGTGAAATTCAGATTTGCATTTCCCGAGCTTTACCTTTTGTTTTCTGGCTCTTTGGGCTTTCCCCTCTGTAAACTATTTAGGTCTTTTACCATTTTCTTATTGAGGTATATTTTTAAAATAAACTTGTTGATAATTCCTAGTATATTAGGGACTTGAGCCAGCTTGGGCTTTAAAAAAATTTTACTGGTATGAATATAGTTAGTGATGTACATTGTGTCTCATTCATGTACATGGTGGTTTTGGAAAATATTGTTGCCTAAGCTGCTGATGTCACGACTGTGCTTATGATGCCCTAAAGTGAACAAACCACTTACATTTTCACAATGCCAATGTTTCTAACTTTTTTGGGTGATTTTTGTATTCCTGAGAACGCTTAAGTTCTTCACCAGAAGTAGCTCATACTCTCTGAAACACTATTTTTTATATTTTTTGTGAGGAGCCACTATAACGACCTTATGAAAAACAGATCTGAACTGTGCCCTATTGTGAATCATTCTTATCATCTGATATGCTCAAGTCCATTATTACTATCATTAGTCAATCCACCTTGGTGAGGGTGGTCTTCCTCTTTCTCTAATCTTCCACCTTTTCCAACATGATGTTTTTTTCCAAGGACTGTCGCCTGCAGACAACATGCCCAAAGTAGGTGAGATGAAGTTTCACTCTGCCTGCCTCTAGGGAGCACCCTGGTTTCACTTCCTCTAAGACAGACATATTTGTTCTCTTGACAGTCCATGGGATGTGGGGTAAACTTCACTACCACCACCACCACCACAACTTAAACACATCTATTCTTCTTTAGTCTTCGCTATTTATTGTCCAACTATAAGGTTGTATAGGAAGCAACTAAAAAGACCTTGTCTTGGATCAGGCACACTTAGTCTTTAAATAGACACTGCTGTTCTTTAGAACTTTGGAGAGGTCTTTGACAGCAGATTTTCTCAAAGTAACATGTCCTCTGACTTCTTGGCTGCTGTTATCATGAGTGTTGAGTGGAGATCAAACTTCCTTTTTTTGGGGGGGGGTCACATGCTAGAAATTTATTCTACTAGATTATACTAGTAACTTCCAATGTCTAGAGATGGCCAAGAATGTATTGAGAATGTCAAGAATAACAGCTTGAAATTGTGCAAGACCTGACATTGGAAGATTTAGATATGAATTAGATGTGAAAGTTTCCAACTTTATTTTTAAGTTATATTAAAACCTGCTATTCATATGACAGCTTCTGTAAATTTATGTAGAGGGTTCTTCTTCTCCTTTCTCCTTCCTCCTCCTCTCCCCTCCTCCTTTAATCCTCATTGGGCTTAGTGGCAAGAAGCTGCACTGCAAACCCGAAGGCACATTGTTCAAGTCCACCAGTTGCTCTGCAGGATGGGCAATCTCTTCCTGTGCGATTAACTGCCTCTGAAAACCCACTGAAGGGTCAGTTATGGGTCAGCTTCAACTCAATGGCACACAACAACAACAGTGGGATAGGGAGCTATACACTACTGCTTGTTTAAAAACAATAAAACATATCACACATTACCATTAACTGCTATTGAGTTTCCCTGACTTGGGGCAGCCTCCTGCGTAAGGAGATGAAGGCTGCCCAGCATGGTGCCATTGCCACATGGACTGTGAGTGGGACCCTGATACATCATAACCACATGGGCTGTGGCTGGGACCCTAATGACATCGGGATTTTCTCTAGTGAGGAGGTGGTCTACAAGGTGTGCTGCTGGCCAGAAACCAAAGGCAGGTCCCTCATGTAGAAGGTGAGAGTTGCCTATTGGACCACTGATGTTTCACAAGGTTTCGAATTCCCACATTTAGTTAGGTAGAGAGCTGCACTGCCAACTCAAAGGCATGCTCTGTGGGTGAAAAATGGGGAGTCCCCTCCACATGATTACTGCCTCTGAATCCCACTGGAGGGTCAGCTATGAGTTGGTTCCAAATTGATGGTATACAACATTTTTTTTTATTCAGGAGCACTGGGAGGGAAGTCATCTACCAAAATTCACCACGGTGGTTGCTGCAGAGGGTCAAGGACTGCAGCCTTTAATATGGATTAAGGCTCAATATAGAGAAGACAAAGATTGCTCACCACTGGGCCAATTGGCAGCATCAGGATGGATGGTGAAGATACTGAGATTGCTTACAGCTTTAGTTTGCTTGGTTCCACAGTCAACACTCTTGGCACCAGCATCCAGGAAATTAAAAGACATATTGTGATGGGAAAGTCTGCTGTTAGGGACCTCTCCAGGGTACTGAAGAGCAATGGTGTCACTCTGGAGACTGAGGTGCACCTGATACAGGACAGTCTTTGCAATCACTTGTCAGAGAGCTGGGCAATGACCAGGGAGGATAGAAGGAGAATTGATGCCTTTGAGCTGTGGTACTGGAGAAGAGTATTGAATGCACCATGGACTGCTGAGAAAATGAACAGGTTCATCCTAGAGAGGGTTAAACCAGGCTGCTCCTTGGAACCAAGGATTCGGAGGCTTTGTTTGACGTACTTTGGACATGTTGGACCAGTCCTTGGAGAGGGATGTCATGCTTGGGAGGGTGGAGGGCAGGTGCAGGAGGGGATGGCCCTCTATGAGGTGGATTGATTCAGTGACTAGGGTAATCAGGGTAGGTGTACTGGAGACAGTAAGATTGGCACAGGACAGAGCAGGGTTTAGGGTTGTTATACATAGGGTTGCTAAGAGTCACAAGTGACTCGACAGCACATAACAACAAAAGGAGCACTGGTGGCAGAATGGAAAAACATTTGGTTACTAAACAAAAAGTGTGAGGCTCAAACCCACAAGGTGCTTCCTGCGAATGTAAGGCAGTCTGTTTGAGACCCATGGGCAGTCTTGCTTGTCCTCAGGGTCATGCAGAGTTGGCTTTGACTGAGTGGAAGCTGACTTAAAAAACAAACACACCAAAAAAACCTTCTCTTTTCAGTTCCATTGATAATGTATCTTTTTTTCTATCAGGTAAACACATATACATCACTATCATTCATATGTACACACACACAGAACTCTCAAAAGTGCAATAGGCGAGCAGACAATTTAGTTCACCTCTTGCAATTGTGTTCTGTGAGGGTTTTGTGATTCTATTTTTTAATAGTACTTCTTTTTCCTTTTCCTTTATGTTATTTCTTATTCCTACCTCACACTATCTTACTGAAAAAGCACTTACCAGTGTAAATGTACCAGGCCAAAGAAGGAAGTTTAATCGTATTGAAATGGACTTATTATTGGTTCTGCTTTTAGTTACAGCATTTATAAGTTTTTACTTGGACGTTAAAAAGGAGAGCCAGTTGTTTAATATGAAGGTTCACACCTTCCCTTGACTGCTCAGAGGATAAAAAACAAGAACCTTTGTCCAAGAAACCTAACACATTGTGTGACCAATACAAAACTCTACAAAATGTCCTGTATCTTGTGAATCTGGGAGAACACAAGCCTTCAAGAACCATGGCCTAGTCTGAATGGTCTGCCATGGCATGGCGGTGGGGACACAGAGTCGTTAAGTAAGGATGCATGAGTTCTGGTCCTGTTGACTCCAGTGCTGGGGTCCTTCGAATCTCAGGCCAGTCAGCCAGCCCTGCCAAATTTGTTTCCTCGTCTGAAAAACAGGCCATCACCACTTGCACCTCAGGTCGTGAGGGTCACAGAGAGGTTCTGAATGTGTATAACATCTTGGGCAGTAGTCCTGAGTGCAGGACAGTCTTTTAACACGTGATACCTGTGTGCAATGTATGCACAGATCACTTACGGGGTCCAATGAACTAGTGCCATTTCTGGCATACTGCAGGCCAGAGAGGGGGCTGTCCAGGGTAAAGGTGACCCCTTCCGGTGGGGCAGGAAACACGCCCCCTCCCCCACCCCCCGCGCCTCATTACCCACAACAAGCACACCTGTTTCAGTCCCTGAATGCTGGCGACCTCTGGTGGTGAAAAAGGAAATACGCTTTGTTTTAAGTCCATCTTCATTTCTACAGGAAAATGGTATTAAAAAGACAAAAAAATGAGGAAGGAACAGAAACATCACTTTCTGGCTGAGGCTACAACACTGAGTCATTCCAAGATAAGGCTGTGTGTTTGGGCCTCCCAAGTGTCTGCGATGAGTTGCCTGTTGGTGTAGCCTGTGGAGAAACAGCAGTGGTCTGGACCCCCAGACTGTCCACCTCAGGTGGGTACGCTGTTCCTCCTGGACCTGGCAGAGGGCACCTCCCGCAGCTGCAAGAGACGCATCAAAAGTGCCTCGAGCAAATGCCTCAGGGCCACAGGGCCAGCTAGGTTCACTTTTGTCTCTTTAACTTAGAGACATGCAGGTTTATGCTGCATTCTGTTGAACTTTTGTTAAGGACTAACAAACACTTCTGAAAGAACTATAGTTTAGGCTGAAGTTAGAAATGGAACTCTCCAGGAGAAAAAGTGAACAGAACCTCACTCGGAGCTTGCTTGGCCTGAGCACCACATGTGGCCAACTAGTAAGGAGAGGGGCTGTCAACCCCAAAGCATGCATCAATGGCTCTGTGACAGAAAGATGAACAATCTCCTCCAGTGCGATTTTAGGCTTCTGAAAACCTGCTCGAGGGTCAGTTATAAATCAATTCCAATTTGACGGCATGTAATGATACAGGATAAAAGAAAACCTCTGCTTACTTTCCAAGCTGGTTTCTAGAGAGGTCCAGGGTTTTGAGCTGCCTACAGGTCCATTTCTCATGAGGTGGGAGCACCCCCAGCTGGTTGCCCTGCAGCCTGAGAAACATCAGGGCCTAAAGGAGTGTATGGGCAAAAAAAACACCATGAAGTGCAGAGAAGGAGGAAAGTCAAAGAGAAATGTCTACAACTACCTGGTGAGCAGAGCAAATAGCACAAGGCTGAGTAGTATAATACTGACAAAACTGCATAATTTAGATTCCAAGTGGAATCTAAAACTCTTCATTTCCCCATCAAAATCAATGAGGGACAGTAGTTCTAGAAAGATGTCCAAGCACTTCTCAGTTTTAAGGGTCTTTAAGCAAGATGATCATGCACAGGCTCTGCTCGAACAGGTGGTGATGCTGAGGGCCTCCAGTGGTGTAGTATGGAAGTAACCTCAGGAAAGGCCTTTTCAAGAGCTGGGAGCCTAGCCCAGCGCACACTCCACTATCACTCAGGTTGCCTGCAGCCTGGCCCTGGCTCCCCAACTCAAGGCAGGATGAGTAGCTCAGCACCAGTTCGGAGCTGGAGCCTGACCTAGGCTGCTGGAGGCCAAAGGGGCTGGTAGCAGATGCAGATCACAGCCCAGTTCCAATTCACACGCCTGCACCTCCACCTGGGCATCCATGTGCTGCCTCCACGGTGCTGCTCTCGCACTCCCTGTACATCAAAGGCAGCAAGGCATGGCTGTCACTGTACAACACTGCATGGACAGGCACATTGCCACGGAGCACATGAGGGGCACACGTCACTACCAGTCTATCTGGCCCACCTGGCCTTCTGCCTATGAGGTCAGCCTCGCCCAGCCAGAAAGGGTAGGGCAAAGAGGACAGCTGGACTGGAACTACACTTCCAGGCACTACAGAAAGGTGTGAGGATAATATCCTCCACATTGGCATTTACTACAGCTGGTTTCCCTCTGCATCTCTCCTGCTGTCTGCCCATCCCTGTGTGCTTCTGACAGCTATAGTCGCTTCCTGGGGGCCCATTTCTGTCCACCCCCTTAGTTTGTCTCCTATCACAGCCCAATTTCCTCTCTTGGAAGCATTTGGGGTTCCACACAAACTGATTTACTTACAAAGGCAGAAAACGAGAAGGCAAACTTTGCAGACTTACATCAAGCTGGAAAAGTCCCAGGGGAACTTCCTTTAGTGTGTTTTCTGAAAAATCCACATCCTTGAGATGGTTTTTCCAAAACACAGCCATTTTGTCTGGCAGAAACTCCAGGGCATTTCTGGATGCCTTGCAACATTTCTAGGAGTTTGGGGAGAAAAAGAACAGAGATGTTAATTAGTTCTTTACCCGAGGTGGTGCCTAGTGGTTCCTTCCAAAAATGACGTGATCAAACACAGTCCACCAGAGGAGGGTTCCCAATCAAAGGCCACTTAGTGTTGATACAGAGTCCCTGGGGGCGGGGGATGGAGATGGTCAGTGCACTTGGCTGCGAACACATAGGCTTGTCCACCCCACACGTTGAAAAAGCACCAAAACTATCGGAAACCTATGGGTTCAGGGCTCTCAACACATGGGACCGGGACTGAGACCACTGTGGGTCTGAATGGATCACTTGGCAGGTGGTCGGTTCCTCCTCCCTTTTGTGAGGAACTTGGAATTCTGACTTGTCCTTTGTCCAACCTTGCTCAGGAGGGTGTGAGAGCAGAGTTGCTTGAGAAACAGAGGCCCATGGCCCTGCTTTTTCATTCCAGGACATCTGACCCAGAATTCCTGAAAACAATTCATTTAGGGAGCTGCTCTAGAGAGGAGCTGGTTTTCTGCACACATACGGGTAAACAGAAACACTAATGCTAATGCTAGTTGTTTCTGGCCAGTCCCTGGGAAAGGAGGAGGGTAAGAGAAAGAGAGGAAGAGACCTCTCCAAAGTACTGAAGAGCAATGATGTCAATCTGGAGACTAAGGTGTGTCTGGTCCAGGCTATGGTTTTCCCAATTATTTGCTATGCATCCGAGAGCTGGACAATAATTAAGGATGACAGAAGATGGATCAATGCCTTTGAGTTGTGGTGCTAGAAAAGTATTAGCCATACTGTGGACTGCCAGGAGAACAAACAGGTCTGTCCTGGAGAGGGTTAAACCAGGCTGCTCCCTGAAGGCAAGGATTTTGAAGCTCCATCTCACATACTTTGAGCATGCGGCCAGGAAGGATCAGTACTTGGAGAAGGACATCATTCTTGGAAGGGTGGAGGGACAGTGAAGGAGAGGAATACCCAGGATACGATGGATTGACTCAGTGACTGGAGCAATGGAATTAGTTCTTTCAGAGTTTATGAGATTAGCTCACGATAGGGCAGGGTTCAGCTCTGTTGTCGCTATGAGTCACAGGTGACTCGATGGCACATAACAACAGCAGTAGCAGCAGCAGCTTCAAAGTCCACAGCAATCACACTTTGCTATCTGCTACATTGCCCCATTTGCTTAATGACAACCGTAGAGTCCCATATTTCATTCCCAGCGCTACAAAGGTGTCCTCTGCTTTCCCTCATCTCACAGTGTGCTGAAAGAGGCAAAACCAGCCTTTTCTGTATAGAACTCATTGTGTATCTCAGTGATGCCATCTCTAACTGTGGAAAGTTCTTAAGAGCAAAAAGAAAGACTCTTAGGGCGTGTTCTGCCTCCAGAAAAATACAATCAATTAGACATTTCCCCAGATGATTCTCTTTTTCCTCTTCTCATCACCTGATCTACAGATTCTGTCACCTGTCTTGCCCTCTACAAGCAGCTGAATCTTCTACAATCCCTTAAATAAAGCTATTTCACTGGTTCTGTTCTTGAAATAACCTAGACTTATAAGCAACCACAGGACGGGGTGGGGGCGGAAGATGAGAGTGCACCTAAATTGAGGAGGACTGCGAGGCTGGTGTGAGTGGTACTGACCAGGGGGCAGGCCCAGGGCTCTGGGAAGGCTCTCAGGTTGTTTCTGGAGGCATCTAGGCAAGTGAGCGACTTGAGAGAATGCAGGAAAAGTTCAGGGAGTTCTGTCAATCTATTGTCAGAAACATCAAGCTCTTGAAGTTTCCGCAAGCCAATCCAGTTAGTGGCTAGGAAAAGAAAAGGGCAAAATGGTAAAAACATTCAAGAGAAAAAAGTGCCCTTTGAGAGAGAGAGAGAGAGAGAGAGAGAGAGAAAGGAAGAGGGAGGGAGAGAAAGGGAGGGAGAGAGGGAGGGAAGAGATAGATAAATTCCCTCAGATAAAACTTACCATTTTGTCCCTCAAATAGATTTTCTAGGTAGTTTTTTGCAGCCTTCAGTTTCTGAAGCCTGGAGAGGTGCAGTAGCCCCAGTGGCAGCTGGGACAGCTTGTTGCCAGAAATGTCCACCTCCAGGAGCCTGCCCATGGAGACAGCCATCAGAAGGAAAAACAAAGTGAAGGTTTTTACAGAAAACATCTTTTTTTTTTCCTTTCTGTAAGCACGAGGGTGTCTTTTTCCTTCTCCTCCCTGCACAAGACTAAACTGAGGTCACAAGATTTACTTACAGGGTCAATTCTTACCAAGATAAAGAAAAGCAAACCTAGGAAAACAGAAATAAGAAGACAGCATCTCTTTGACAGGTTTGTGTCTTACTGACCAACAGGGATAAACAACCTCGTACATGCAATGGGCCCTCTGCTAACCGAAAGGCAGAGGGTTCGAGACTGCGCACCAGCACCGTGGAGGCCAGATGTGCCCTTGAAGTCAGTCACTGACACACCAAGGGATGCATGGTTGAATCGCTGTACTGCTGTGACAGAAATACCAGCGGATCTACCAGGCCTGCTTCCAGCCCTCAGAACCTGTGCCCAGCAAGCTGGCAGACCCTACTGGCATGGAAGACATGCTTTAAGGTTTTGGTGTACAAAGTGTTTTCTCATCCTTGCTTGTGGAGGTCCCAATGCTCTCCAACATTCTCTCTTCCTTCACTTAGAGCTTTAACACCTGACATTATGGACTGAGGCTTTGCGTGCACATGTCACCTATAAATTAATGAGGTACAGTCTCTTCCTATCTTGTGCAACCTGAGGCCTCTGAAAAGGATGCAGGCAGTGCCCACAGGCCTGAGTGCCCCAGAACCTGTCCTTGGGAGGTGCAGTATAAGGTGGTGGGTGGGCCTGGAAAGCTTCCAGTCCTGCTTCTATGATACCAGATGTAGACGAAACCAGCATTTCAGCAAGGCCAATTTCACACTGAAAGTAGTGCAGCCTGGGGCTGATGGTCACCCCCCCAAGGCCTCCTATTGTCCATTTGAGCAGGCAGCAGGACACTGATCTCTGAGCGTGCTTGTGCTAAGGCAGCAGAACTTCCTCCCCTAATTTTAGGTGGAATCTCCCCCCTCCCCAAATCATAGAAGCTCAACAGTGAACAGAGGCTTCTGGGGCAGCATCCCCAGGTGCCTGGCCATCCCCACACACCTGGAACAGATGATCTCGTCTGCTGACTGCACTCTGGGAAGCTCACCCAGGTGATTGTCTGCCAGGTTCAGCTTCTGCAGGTTGATGAGCCCCCAGGGAATGACAGAGGGTAGGGAAGACAGGCAGTTGGCAGAGAGGTCCAGCTCTGTGATCCGACACGAGATGTCTATCAGCCAGTCCAGGTCCACCCAGGGCAGCCTGAGATGGGCCCACTTCACACGAAGGGACTAGGGGTAAGGAAGGGGACAAGCACACATGGACTTGAGCCCAGGCCACCAGCTGGAGCGAGGCGTTGCTGGATCTGTATGTTCTGCTCTGCCTGTCCCAGCTGCAGTTCCCAGAGGTAGCCCCCAAAGCCGAGCAGCTGCAGTCCCCATCCCTGCCCACACACCCTCCAGTGTGCAGAGAGTGCTCCAGGCCCAGGGAGGCCGGCACTCCTAGCACTGAGGGACAGGCTTCTCCCCTGAGGGGCTGCATGTCATCTGCCAAGCAGTGGACAGTCTGCTTCCAGGGGTGTCAGAGCAGCCAGCAATTGGCTGGGATGGATGGCAGAGAAGGGTCTGGTTAAAGGGATGGCCACAGGATCTTTTCTTTCTTTCTGATTATCAAAGGTTCCTTGGCTCAATTAGGGCTGAGGGGGCAGGGGATGTGGTTTTTCTGCCTGTTTCTCCATAGCAAGAGGAAATCCATATTGGAAAATTAGATAAGCATAAATGAAAGCAGAAATCAGTACTTTACAAATGGAAAAATGCAGTCTGTTCCCAGCAGACAGCAGGAGAGACACCCACAAGCAGGCGTGGGAATCCTGTCCTCAAGCTGGTCACAGCAGGCCGACTTCCTGATCTGGCCACCAGGCAGGGTGTGTGCCCTGTCTTCGTGCCTTGGCTTGCTTGCGCTACATCCTTGTCAAAGCTCTCCACAAGACCATTATCGTAAAAACAGAAGGATAACTAGTAAATGTGTGCAAAAGTCCAAACGGGGAAAGGGAGAGTGGGGAGGGGAGTTAAGAGCAGGGGCAAAGCCCTGGGATGTCAGGCCACTGGCCAGAAGGAGGAGGTGAAGGAGTAAGAGAGATTCATGGGGACCTGAAAAGATGGGGTGATAGTAGGCATAGATCAGTGGTGAGTGACTTTATAAAATACAATGTATTGAAATGATCATGTGAAACATAATGTGAATGAAGGAAATGTATGAAGTGCAATGTACTGAATGAAACAAAATGTATACGATTTTTTAATGCAAACCAATATAAAACTCTTTTTAAATAAGCTCTCCAGTCTCCAAAGTCCAGCAGATTACTGGATGGGAGCACCCGGCACAGGGCGAGGCCTGGACATGCCTCCATCCCTGACTCCATGCCCATAGCTCAATGAGAGGCAAGCACTAAGGGACAGGATTTGAGGTGAAGAAATAGTTCTAGTCTTAGTATGTGGGTTATTGTTTTCTTAAAAAAACCTCTGTTGCTATGGGCCTATTTTAGTGTTTTTACTATTACTTCCTCACATGTTTTAATTATGAAAATGTTAAAAATTACAGGGAAGCTGAAGCAGCCATAGACAGAGCTCTTGAATAACCTTCCCCTAGACTTCTCAAGAGTTAGCAGGCTGCTACTTTGCACTTTCCACCTCTCTCTGCAGATGGTAAACAACCTGTACACTTTCTATTGTTCACTGAACCATTCAAAAATAAACTACACAAAACAACTATGAAATATCATCTCACTCCAGTCAGAAGAGCAAAATTTAACAGAACAGCAAAGCAACAAATGCTGGCGAGGTTGTGGAGACACTGGAACCCTTATTCACTGTTGGTGGAAGTGTGAAATGGTGCAACCACTGTGGAAAGTGGTGTGGCACTTTCTCAAAAAGTTGCAAATAGAGATACCAATTGACCCAGCAATTCCACTACTGGGAATATAACCCAAAGAGACCAAAACCGACATCCAAGCAGATATATGCACACCCAATGTTTATCGCGGCTTTGTTCGCAACAGCAAGGAGTTGTAAACCACCCAAGTACCCATCAACAAATGAATGAATAGAGAAGCTGTGGTATATTCACACAATGGAATACCAACCTACATTGAAAAACAAGGAACTCATGTAATATTATTCAAAATGGGTGACCCTGGAAGACATTATGCTGAGTGAAGTGTCTCAGTCACAAAAGGACAAATACTGCATGGTGCCACTGTTGTAGAATGGGACTGACATCAGGGTTGGGGTAAGACTGAGAAAAACTGGGTAAATTATGTATACTGCATTGAAACAGATGAGGGAGAGAAAAGCTATATATGATAGGGTATTATGGTTATCACAAGAGTCCAGAATGAAGGTTGCATAGTGGAGTGTACTTGGGGGGGGGTCGGGGTGCGGGGGGATTGTATACCAATGAAAGAAGTTTTCTTTTACTTTTCAAAGAGAGGAGCGAACTGGGGGGAAGGGATGGGCAGGGACAAAAGTGCAACAATGAATGAATGGAAATCCAAAATCTCTGTAAATGTTCATTAAAATTAATAAAATAAACAAAAAACCCCCCAAATACACTACACACCTTATGCCACACTTCAGTGTGTATATCAGAAGAACAAAAGTACTTTCTTACATAACAATCATGTAACTGTTATTTTCAAAAAAGGTATCAATGGATATATACTGTCAAACCCATAACCCATGTTCAAATACAAAACTTTTACTGTGATTTAACTGGAAGTTTACAGAGCAGAGAGATTTCCATTCAGCTATTCACATACATTCTGCTTTTATGAGTGACGGCAGCCTCTACACTGTACAAACACTCTTGGTAAGTGTCCTGTGATTCTTGTTTCATTCATCCTCTGTCCTCACCCTTCCGGCTTCTGAGCTCGCTCCCTGAGCATGTTGCCCCTGTGATCCTGCATGGCTGATTGTGCAGAGGACAGCGCACACCCCTTGGTATGACTGTTCACTTTACAGGCACGCCTTATTCAGCTGACAGGTGTGTCTTTTAAAACTATTTTGTGAACTGGCACAGAGTCCGGTCAAGGACCACACACTGCATTCAGTTGTCATACTTCTTTCCTTTAATTTAGAAGGGTTCTTAAAGCTCTGGTTGCTTATTGGCAAGGAGTTGTGCTTCCAACCCAAAAGAACACAGTTTGTATCCAACAATCTCCTCTCATGACTTACTTGAAAACCCGCTGAAGGGTCATCTATGAGTTGGTTCCGAATCGAAGGTACACACCTTTTTAAAGTAAGTCTAATATTTTGGATTATAACCTTGTTGTTGTTGTTGTTATGTGCCGTCGAGTTGCTTGAGACTCATAGCGACCCTATGCACAACAGCCCTAAACTCTGCTCTGTCCTGTGCCAATCACACTGTCTCTGACACTCCCATTCCGATTATCCCGGTCACTGAATCAATCCACCTCATAGAGGGCCTTCCCCTCCTGCGCTGTCCCTCCACCCTAGCAAGCATGATGTCCCTCTCCAAGGACAGGTCTCTCCTCACAACATGTCCAAAGTATGTTAGACGGAGCCTCAGAATCCTTGCCTCCAAGGAGCCACCCCGTTTAACCTTTTCCAGGACAAATCTGTTTCTTTTCCTAGCAGTCCATGGTATTCTCAATACTCTTCTCCAGCACCACAGCTCAAAGGCATCAATTCTCCTTCTATCCTCCTTGGTCATTGTCCAACTCTCTGATGCATAACAAGTGATTGCGAAGACCATGGCCTGTATCAGATGCACCTTAGTCTCCAGAGAGACACCACTGCTCTTCAGTACTTTGGAGAGGTCCCTAACAGCAGACTTTCCCATGGCAATACGTCTTTTAATTTCCTGGCTACTGGTGCCAAGAGTGTTGATTGTGGAGCCAAGCAAACTAAAGCTGTGAACAATCTCAATCTCTTCACCATCCATCCTGATGCTGCCAGTTGGTCCAGTGGTGAGAATCTTTGTCTTCTTGACATTGAGCCTCAATCCATATTGTAGGCTGCAGTCCTTGACACTCTGCAGCAGGTGCTTCAGGTCCTCTTCATTTTCAGCAAGCAGGGTTGTGTCATCTGCATAACGCAGATTGTTGATAAATCGTCCACCAATCTTGACCCCACATTTCTCCTCATAGAGCCCAGCCTCCCCTACAATGTGAATTAATCAGTTGTTTCCTAAAGTTTAAACTCAAGTTGAGCACTTCTAGCAGAAGCCGACAATGCTGAGTCCTTCCTGCTCACTCCACTAGGTGGCACCTAATGTGGTGATGGTGACATGTGTGTGACCACTGGGCTGGTGGCATCTCAGTCAGAGCACTCTGTGTTGTTTGCCATTATATGCACTCTGGACAATATTCCAGAATCATGGGAGGACAACTCTGTTTTCCAACATTGCTATTCTTGGCCAGAATAAATCTGTACATTGGTTGGTGGTTACAAAACAAAAGTCCTCACCACTGGACTGGTAGCAGGCTTTGAGAGAAATAGTAGTTATGAGATGTGACGTTGGCCCTATCCTGTGCCATCCTCACCATCTCTGATAGACTTATGCCCACTATTACAGTCACTATGTCAATCCATCCTCTTGAGGGTCTTCCTCTTCTATAATGACCCTCTCTCTACCTTTTCTTTTCCAGGACCTGGCCTCTTCTAACAACACACGTTAGATAACACTAATATGTGAGCTGAAGCGTCACCATCCCTGTTTGTTCTCTTGGCAGTCCATTCAGTACTCTTCTTCAACACCACAACTCAAAGGCATCCATTCTTATGTCATCCTTAGTCATTATTCAACTTTCAGAGGCACAGCAGGTCGTTAAAAGATCATGCTTTGGATCAGGCACACCTTAGTCTTTAAACAGACATCCTTGCTCTGCAGGCCTTTGAAGAGGTCCCTGACAGCAGATTTTCCCAATGCGATATTTTTTGATTGCTTGACTATTGACACCAAGGATGTTGATTGTGGATCCAAGATGAAATCGTTGACAATTTGAATCTTTTCTACATCTGTCATGATACTGCCTATTTGGTCCAGTTGTGAGGAATTTTGCTTTCTGGACGTTGACATGTAATCCATATTGAAGGCTGTAGTCTCTGATCTGAAAGTGCTTCAAGTCTTCTTCACTTTCAGCAGACAAGGTTGTGTCATCTGTATAATACAATTTGTTGATGAGTCTTCCTCTGATCCTGATGCCAGAAAGCAGAAGTCTAAAAACAACACGATTAAACACTTGGACTACAAGCACATTCATGAAGTGATT